TCAAGCTCGTCGAGTTAGGTCCTCGTATGCGCCTGCGTCTGACCAAGGTTGAGGAAGGCTTGTGCTCTGGAAAGGTTATGTGGCACGAGTATGTCCACAAGTCCAAGGAGGAGGTAAAGGAGTTGGAGAAGCGCTGGGAGCAGAGACAGAAGGAGAAGGAGGCCAGGCGGAAACAACAAAAGGAGAACGTCGAAAAGAAGCGGAAAGCCAATGCCGGCAAGGGCAAGGAGGCTGATGACAGTGACGTGGACATGGACTATGACGACGAATTTGACAGCGAGGGTCTGGCTGGGGATGCCGAATACCAGATCAATGAGGCCATGGAAGATACGGGCGAATGGGAGGACGAGGAAGACGAGATCACCAAAGGCTGAAAACTGGGATGTGTGTGGTCTCTTGGCCCCTATTGAATAATACCCAAAATGGACAATTCTGATCACTTGTTAAAGCATATCAGCCAATCCTATTGACATTAAAACAGCTATTCTGTCACACTTCCCTTGCCCGAGATGAAGCAGGTTAAAGAGCCGTTGGACCTTCGAAGACGGTTGAAATTATGGCATCCGCCACCTCGAATGTGAAGGCCAGCCCGATTCCCGCCCTGCCACATATTGGACGCAAGAGCAATATCCTCGTCTCGGAACGGCCGCGCTGCCCCTCCGTCAACGCAGGCCGGTTGCGGCGCAGAAAAGTCCGTCGTGAGGTATTATCCCAGCCAGACTGTAAGAGTCATACGTGACATTGACGCTACTCAACAATAAGCCAAAACATTCTCATTACTAGCGACAGAGGTACTATCATCAAGTATTTTTGACACTCTGCAGCGTGCCAGCCGAGTTGAGGATCTTGACCATATCCCAGTCATTGATGGGCCCTTGGAAGTTCTTTTGTTTCAAAGAACCGCGACGGGAGCACAATACTCAAAAGCCAAGACTCGGGTATAGTTCATGGACCCAGCTTTTCTGGCAACGCTGTTGGCATGCAGATAGGGGCCCTCAGAACGACCCTCCACAGGACAGAAAACATGTTGCAAACGAAATCGGACCGGCTCAGGTTCAGATAGCGAGGAAAAAAGTGATCTGCCCCGGCTCTGAAACAGAAGGAACCCCTGTGGCATCACATACGTTGATACTCAGGAACAAAACTGCTGAGGTCATAACATTGAGATGGGACGCAGACTGAAGAAAGTCAACTTCGGCCCAAGATGCACCAGTAGAGGGCCAGAGGCTTCTACAAACCTAATTTACAAGTTACAAGCAGAATGTATGCGATGAGGATCAGGGTGATATGTTTAGTCCCAGTCCTGACATAGCGTCTGCTAGCATCTAACCAGCTTCGTCGGGCTCACATGCATAGAAAGACCAGAGAACAACGGACGTGGCGATTCGCCAAGCCAGAGTCGGCATCCATCCAAACTGAAATTCCGTGAATCATCTCATATAAGCCAATGGCAGGTGCCGTAATGTAGTAAAAATGATATTGATCACTGCTTGACTGTTACCGTAAGATCAATTATTAGTCCAAAGTATTATAAACTGAGGTGCACTGGAAGCATGGAATATTGTAGTCAACTTGCAAGAAAAACTGAAGCAATTTCACCTAGACCAAGGGTAGTGATAAAGTGAGTCACGAAAGCAGCCAAGAGGCCGAAGAAGCAAGGTTACGGCTCTCAGTAAATCGGATTTTATTGGAAGTTATCTGGTAATTCCATCCGTGATATTCGACACTGTACAAGGCATCCAGTCCATGAGTTGGTGATGGAGAACCATAGGCCTAGAGCTGACACCTAGGTAGCTGAACTAGCGCCGCATGGCTACGGTACTGCTATTGCCCTCGAGATGGCATCGTCTAGATCGACCGGGCCGCCGACTGTACCGTCAGAGATGCTATCTTGGTCATGTGATCTAGAGGGAAGGAGGGTAGGGTTTGTATCTGCTGCTGGTTTATTCAGGTCTTTCCCTGAACTGACAGATGTTACGCGATTAGAAACAGCTATCTCGCCATTGTTCACGAGTTGTAAGATTCTAAATGGTTCTCTCTCATGGTTCCTCATAGAATTAGCTGTAGAGGATATCAGGAGGATTTGGTACGACACGTTGCCTTTGCTTGCTGGTCAGGTGCTTGCGAGCCTCTTTTCAGTTTTTATACTTCATATGAGATCTATTATATAACACCTTCATTGGGGTTGCAATGGACTAAAGAAATTCCGCCAATCTTGGCTCAGCTGCATGCCTTATCTGGGTTACAATGATAAACCACGATGTCGCTGAGGCGGTACAGTATCGAGGGAACGGGCCGGGAGAACGGGCTCGCGTATTTTTAGGCAACCGATCGCCCAACACTTTCGTCTAGCCCCCGTGTCGAGGCCCATCTCCAGATCCTTAGTATCCAAACAGTGTCTGATAGCTTAATGAAGCTTGCACATACTGCAACAATGCACCAGGCGCCCTATCTGTGGATTTGATCGTTCTGAACCGGCTGGTAGACATGATTGATCTATGCCACTTTGGGTTCTTGTCGTCACGTGAAAATCAGACTCACCACCTTGACTCAGTCTCGATGACAATAGATGCAGATTGAAAGTTGATGTTTCTGTGTTTCTCTACTTCATCGAACCATGCGGAGCTAGACCGGAGTTGTTAGCTGCATATTGCATGGTTCAAAACGCAAAGCGCATGCTCATGGCTGGTCTTGTTGACCCCACCCACCCATCTCGCATGAGTGTGTTCTTATTCCTTTTTAGGAAGTATCTTCAACCTCCCTCAATGAGAGGATAAACTTCGGCAGCCAGCTTAACACTACTATGCGGAGTGGCAAGCATAGCCCTGTTACAACTTGCGACTATGGATACTATCCCCCATCATGCTCAAGCTACGTTACGGAGTAGTTACATGAGCTCTTGTACACTAAAACCTCGTGGTTTATAAACCATTTTGTCTTTGCAAAGTTCCCATAGCCCTGGGCACCCGACGACTAAGCTCGGTACATTGTTTGTTCTCGACATACCTATTGTTTTCGGACATTCAAATCGAATCATGTCTTCATCCACAGTGTCGGACATGAGGGCTAGATATGGTCCTGAGGTCCAGAAGGTCTCCGCCGACACACCATTGGACGACATCATCTACCTCCTCAAGCGTGACGGGGGCGTCTTCGTTAGAGATCTGGTCCCTGTCGCTGATGTCGACAAAGCTCACGAAGAATGCCGCGAACGCCTAGAAAATGATGTGGAATGGAATGGCTCCTTCTTTCCAAGTAAATATTCATAGTGTCTACGTCAAGACGGACTGATGTATTTGTGCTGACACACGATCGTCACAGAGGAGACTCAGCGGGCACCAGCCTTGTTGGCTCTCAGCCCTACGTATGCCAAAACACAAGTCATGAACCCAGTCTACCAAAAGGTGTGCGAGCACTTCTTGACCACCCGAAGTTGGTTCTGGTGGGGAAACGAGAAGAAGGAATCTGTATCAAAGCCATATGTTCACTCCTGTACTGCTATGAGCATTGGGCCCGGGGGCAAAGCTCAGCCCTTGCACCGAGACGACTACATCAGCCACAACTATCATCAAGAGGTGAGTGAGTGGGATGATGAGCGAGACAAGGGCAGGGAAACAGCTGTTGGGCTCTTCGTGGCTGGCTGTAAAGTCACCAAAGAGAACGGTGGAACGCAATTCATTCCCCGGAGCCATTTGTGGTAAGTAATCATGTCCCTTATCCAGGCGCTAGGGCGCTGATAGTCGACGCATTCTCGATCAAACTGGCCTCCGACCGAGGAAGAAAGATGAACTGATGCCATGATCTTGAAGGGGCACTGATAGACACATGCCTCCTCGAGTAGAGGAGTGCATTTACGCCGAGATGGAGAAAGGCGATGCCTTCATCATGCTGGCATCCGCGTACCATGCCGGAGGCCACAACACAACGAAGAATGAGAGACGACTGATGTTTGCCACATTCTCTATTCGAGGTTATCTTCGACAGGAGGAGAATCAATTCTTGTCTGTGCCCCAAGATATTGCAAAAAAGTTGGATCAACCTATCCAGGAGTTTATGGGATATTCAATGAGCGATCCGGCCTGTGGGTACGTTGATCAGATGGATCCAATCTTTGTGCTCCGTCCCGAGTTGAAGGGCGACGGGCGTCCATCCGACTTTTGATGAACAACTAAATCGCAGTCACTTGAGATTGGAAGCCTTGCTTCAGCTTCTCAGCTTGGGACTGTCGAGAATAGCCCTTTGCTGCTTCGGGAAGTGCCTTGCTTTAGATAGATAGCTTGAGATTATGATTCATCGGTTATCAAAAGCCTGAATGATTTTCAAGGGAACAGTCAAAATTACACCGATGCCAAACCTTACGTATGAAAGCACTAGACTTCGATCATTTTGCATTCTAGTCCATTGGAATCTTTTATGAAATGACTTGAAAGCTATTTCCTAAAAGGTGTCGGCCATAAGCATCATTCTTAACGCCTCACTGGCAACGGTCATCACGGTAAGTCCATGTAATTCGGGATCATATGGAGTGGCAAAGCTTGGAGCGAGTCTTCCCAACGTTACCCGAAACCAAAAGTAAATGAGAGGAAGCTAGTGATGACCATTGTTCGACCGACCTTGTAATGCTTCACATCATGTGAGTGCTAGCATGAGGCGCCAGACCGGAGACAACACGTTGTCTTAAGGGTGACTGTCCCCGGCGCGGAATTCAGATTCCTTTGTCATGACTCCACTACCACCTTAGCGGATGCTGCTTACCTGCAGGCTGCACACCTGCACTACCTACGTACCGCTCCTCTCTATGGCAAGGTAGGTTTACGGCTGTACGGAATACATGGATTGCCCAAGCGTCCAATCCTGAACAACCAACATGAACCCAACACCGGGCGAGACTCTCTGTTCCGCCGGCCTTTCTTCCACTTGCTCCCAACATTTGGTCGGATAGTTGCGTACAAATTTGGTGATCATACCTCACCACAAGGTCTACGAGATTCGGATGCGAAATGCGTGCCAACATCGCAATGGCCAGGGGCTCGAAAGCCGTCAGAAAAGGTCAGCTCGGTTCTCCCCTCTCTTGCTCTGAATCTTGTACCGAAAACTGCACTAAAGGGCACTCAGTCCCTGCCCGGGTCTTGTTGAGCCAGATTGGGAACAAGTTTCAGCAGCGAGACATTCTGTCGCTCATGATTTCCGAGCGTGCGATTTACTACCCGATTATGCTTCAGCTCCCGCTCAGATTTCGTCGCTGACCATCAACAGATCCAGCATGCGGAACCTGTAGAAAGAAGTGCCGCAAGTGTGACCGCGCGCGCCCTGTCTGCAATCGATGCAAGTCAAAGGGCTTACACTGTGAGGGCTACCCTCCTCGATTCCAATTCTGTGAATCATTACAGACGCACAGTTTGATGACCGCTGGCGATGAGCGGGACCCAGAAGCGGAGCAAGAGCGCGTTCAGCCTGATGTCCTACCCACCAACGAGCTTACTCCGGCCCAAAACCTGAGCTCACCAACATCGACTCCAAGTTCACTTTCTTCAGATCACCCAAGCCAAAGCCGCCGCCGCCTCCTCCAGACTTTGTCACAAGGTGCTTCTCCAGCCTCGCCCCAAGATCGATCTCTTGGCGCACCGTCACCGGCGACAATCACCGGGCACCCTGTCGACGATCTACTGCTCACGAGTAACAGCCAGAAATTGCTTGTTTACTGTAAGTTGCTCCTTGACCGCCCGGAACCTTCCATATTCCATTTTCTCTCAGCCAGTGTGACATCATTGTTTCTGACAACTGTTTGTAGTCGACAGAGAGCTGAGCCATCATCTAACAATTGTCGTTGAAGGCGTGGACAACCCGTTCCGCGTACATGTCCTCCCACTGGCCTACAATCACACAGGTGTTCTCCATGCAGTCCTGGGACTTACCGCGTGCCATCTGCACCTATCACCATCAGGTGCTAATCAGGTTGACATGGCCACTGCCTTACAACACCGTGTTGCTGCATTGAACGGTCTAAGCTCCCTTTTAATCAAGGAAGAAATCTACGGACTTACAGAAGCTGAAGAAGAGGCTGCACTAGCAATAATATTCCTTTTGGTACTTCATGATGTAAGCTCCAAGACCCATTTCAAGTTTCTCCGCAGCGCGAGTCTCGTTGGCTAAGCAATCACATGCATGATATCTAGATATGCGAGCTGGGAATATCTGCCCATGCTGTTCATTTGAATGGCGTGTCATTCCTCTGTGGAAGAATTGCATCTCCTTTAGGAAGGGCAGAGCGGTCTGCAGCAACCATCTTCTTTTTGTCTGCTTTATCATGGCAAGTATAGTACTCGTCTCCGATCTCGAAACTTTCTAATGACAAACATGTTGATCAGGTTGGATGTCTTAAGAGGATTCAGTGGTGCTGAGAAGCTCACCTACTCCGAGAATGTCCGGAAATGTGTTGCAAACATTACTACTCCACACGCAGCCCTGCACACTTTGGTTGGTTGTCCCGCAGTCATGTTCCTCAGAATCGGGGACGTAATAGCAGCAGCCAAGCAGAATATGCAGGGATTGTTATCTACCGTCGACTTTCAGACCAGATTAGATGAGGCAGAAAGCTTTCTTCGCGACCTCGATCTCGACATGATCGAATATCCCACACCACATCCGGAGTGGAGACAGCTCGCGGAGGCCTTTAGACATGCTAGTCTGCTGAGAATCTTACGATGGCCTGATACGTTTGTAATTCCCTGCGAAGACCCTAGGATCAGGCCATCGGTATCAGCAATCCTGGATTGCTGTGCAAACGTTTCAATGGACTCGCCATTCTTCAAGCGGCTGTTGTTCCCTCTATTTCTGGCGGCAACCGAGACATCTGAAAGACACCAGATACACTACGCCAGTCTTTGTATCGAAAATATTCGACGCTCCACGGGGTTTCAACATGCAGCCATGATGGAAGTCCTTGAAGGGGTTTGGGAGGAAAGAAGACTAAAAACCCGGGGCTGGACGAATGTTCCCTGGATGGAATTTGTGAGTAAAGACCAGAATTGTCCCTTGGTCCAACATCTATACTCATTCGAATGCAGACCTGCTCTGAGAGTATGCAGCAGCAACACGCTTACCTTTTCTTTTGACTAAGTATACAGAGGTGTGCCAACATGACTCTTCAACTCTCAATATTACAAACAGGACCGCCGGAAAATGCGATGAAGAAAAGATTCCCTAGCCACCGAACGGCAGTTTCAAAAGTTCACCCTGGAAACGTGTCTCAAAGAATGACATTGTTAATGGAGATGCCTGAGTCCCGGCACCTTGAAGCTTACCCATGATATGTCATGGGAACCTTGATACAACTTGTTCAAACAGCTTAGCGCGGGATTCGGAAGGAATTTGCAAATGAGCCATACTACAACCATGTGACTACATCTGGGCAACAACCGCCAAGGGTGATAGTGAGCAGATACCAAAGAGAGGCTTTATATGGAAGGAAGCGTCATTTGATCGTTGTAATCCAGCCCTCTCAACTGTGAGAGTTATAATACCCACTCAGACATGGTTTGGCATGGGCCAGATTGAAGCGACGCAGGGGCTGGACTGAGTTACAGGCACATCAGTGTGTCTGGAAAGGCCAAGCCACGATTCAGTAGTTGGCATGATGCGTTGTTTAGTATCGGACTTCTTTCAAAATTGCAATGCTATACAACTCATCGTTGATCGGCGCATCTGATGTTAACGGCGTACTTCTCGTCTAGTTATACAAACCCCCATTTGCACAGAGGACTGATCCAGTAGTCCACCGAGCGTCACTGCTGCAAAGGAATGCCACGAGAGGTGCGACATCATCCACTTCTCCGATTCTCGCTGCAGCCGGTGTAGACTCGATCAACGGCTCCATGTCTTTTCTAAACTGGTCATCGCTTTCGTTCCACTGATCTACGTCGCAGGACATGTCAGTCTTGCTGCTAGTGGCGTCTTGGATGTGAGATGCCTACCAGTAGCCACCGGGCCAGGATTGACGCAATTGACAGTAATGCCATGCTCTTGCCCAAGTTCTTTGGCCCACACACGCGCAAGTGCCTCGTTGGCCGCTTTTGTGGCAGCATATACGGTTTGTCCAGCGACCCCAAGGCGAGCCGCTGCGGAAGAAACAAAAACTATTCGACCGCCTCGAGCAATGTGCGGCACGACAGCTTTGGTCAGAAAAATTGGTCCCTTCACATTGGTGTCGAAATGAGTGAGATACAAGTCTTCGGTGACTTCGTCGAGGTTTGCGTCGACACCCAAAGCCGCGCTGAGAAGTAGAGCAAATTATCAGAGCCACACACATAATGGACAAAACCAAGCCATAGAAATCGAGAGCGGAAACTGACTTATGAACCAAAATTTCGATTTTGCCAGTTCCACTAAACTTCAGCGTAGCGTCAACGAGTCTGGAGATCTCAGATAATTTCCCGACATCTGCCTGGATCGCAATGGCATTCGACCCGTGTTGTTGGATGTCCTTGACGATGTCTTCGGCTCGCTGGCGACTGCTGTCTGTCACGAAGTTGGCGACAACATTGGCTCCTCGCCTCCCAAGTTGTTTTGCAATCGCGGCGCCAATTCCACTGTGAAATCAAAAATATTAGCGGGAGTCTAAAAAGACCGACAAAGGCGGCCGATTCCTCACCGTGAAGCGCCGGTGACAATCGCTGTCTTACCGGTAAGATCGACACCTCTGAAGTCAGACATGGTAGGATGAAGTTGTTGAAGCTGTCATGAATTGGCATTTGGATACAAGGCTTCTGAACATATCTAGCGAAGCAAAGTTCGGGAGCATACGACATATATCTCTCCCAAAGATCTGGTATTGTTAGATCACTCGCGGTTGCCGCAAGATGTAAGATCGGTAATAGTGGCCATATTGGGCTACCCCGCGTTGCGCTGATTCCTTCGCAGTGCTGACGTGGGGTCCATTATGAAGAGGCCGGCTGGATGTCTTTCCTGTTCAAGCCAGGAGATACGCTTGGTTTGCTAGCTGATGAGCGTGTTCAGCTGCCATTGTCCCAAAACAAAAGAGTCTGAGAATGCACTTATTTCTGTTTGCTAATTAAAATGGGATTGTTCTCACCCCGCGTGAAGACAACAAGTTGCCCCTCTTTCCGTTTTGGGGAGTGGTGGGTCGCTGCTGGGAGAATGTCCCTTTTGGGAAACATGTAAGTCCGCAACACGAATCGAACGACTTTGGGTAGTCAATTATCTTTCGTAATGAATACAAGTTCAAAGCAGTGTATCAAGGGAGTAAAAATTGTAAGTGTTCGTATGAGAACATGTAGTATTTTAAACTGGTGCTGCCAATCGAACGCAACCGCATCTTGACCCTCAAGCACTGCACTTCCTGGCCTGTAATCAGGCTTATTAACTTGTCACCATGGCTAAGCACCCCCTTGACCCCCTTTCGATCAACGAAGTGCGTCAAGCGTCCCGCGCCCTGTTCAAAGGACTGAGCCTGCAGGAAGATGAGATCAGGTTCAAAGTAATCGATCTCGCCGAGCCTTCGAAAGATGAGACCTTGGTTCACCTCCTGGAACGTGGCCCTATGCCCGATCGTAGGGCTAGGATCTACTATCAACGGAAGCAAAGGGAGTTTATGAGCAGAGCAATCATCAACATAACCCGCGGAACTCTCGAGAAGACTGACGACCTTCCTGATGCCCAGGGACCAGTGGACTGGGTTGAATACGACCTCATTACCACAGCTTGCAATGCCCATCCAGATGTCGTGGCTGAGGTTGCTAAGCTGAGACTCCCCGAAGGGTGAAGCTCTAATTCCCTTGATTTTGATATGCCAGAGTTAGTTAACATGATATGATATAGAGCACGAGTTCTCAATGACCCTTGGGCTTACGGAACTGACGATGTCGAGGAGAGACGCCGTCTCTTCCAATGCTACATGTATCTTGCCCTCGATGACGACGATGAGGCCAACCACTACTCAATCCCCCTCCCTCTTGCACCTATCTTCGATGCTCAGACTCTTGAGCTGGTTGAATTGCAAAAGCTTCCTTTGGGGATCGATGACGAAATTGACGATGAAACACAACCCTGGGTACCTGTCAAGCCAGTTGAGTACAGCGCAAACATTCTCGGACCCGATGCTTTTAGAAAGGACCTAAAACCACTACAAGTCGCCCAACCAGAAGGGCCTTCATTCGACATCGAAAATCGTAAGGTATCATGGCAGAGATGGCAATTTCAACTGGGATGGTCTCTACGTGAAGGTTCAGTTCTGCACGACGTACGTTACGAAGGCCGGCCTCTATTTTACCGGGTATCGATGAGCGAGATGACGGTACCTTACGGCGATCCTCGAACACCTTACCACCGGAAGCAAGCGTTCGACCTCGGCGACTCCGGCTTCGGTCTCACTTCCAATAGCTTGTCTCTTGGCTGTGACTGTTTAGGCCACATTGCCTACTTTGATGGCGTTCGTGTTTCAGCAACAGGAGAACCTGTTGTTATGCCGAACGTTGTCTGCATGCACGAGATCGATGATGGAATTGGCTGGAAACACACGAACTTTCGCAACATGAAATCTTCCACAGTCCGAGACCGGAAGCTCGTTGTCCAGTGCACTTCCACTGTAGCCAATTACGAATACATTTTGGCGTATGCCCTGGATCAAGCCGCGAATATTCACATCGAGGTGCGAGCAACTGGCATTGTCTCCACTATGCCAATCCGCCCCGAACTCAAGTCGTCGCCTTGGGGAACTGTTGTGGCACCCGGAGTCTTGGCCGTTAACCATCAACATCTTTTTTGTGTCCGAATAGATCCGATCCTTGATGGGGCAAGAAAGAACACAATTGTATACGAGGACTGTATTCCTGTACGAGACGATCCGGAGCTCGACCCCTACGGATGTGCGTTCCGACTTAATACCACACCTATTGTTTCACCAGGTGGTTACGATCTCGATTTAACAAAAGCTCGCACGTACAAAATTGTCAATCCGGCTCGCAGGCATGAGGTATCGGGAAAGATGGCTGGGTACAAGCTTCATGCTTCGCCTAGCCAGATGCTGATGATGGGGCCCGAGACTTTCAATCATCGACGTGGAGTCTTTGCGTCCAAGCCAATTTGGGTTACTCGGTACCGCGATGACGAACTTTGGGCTGCTGGAGAGTTTACGAATCAAAGCCGAGAGGATACTGGCCTTGTAGAGTATGCTGCACGAGCGGACAATGTTGAGGCTGAAGATGTCGTTCTGTGGCACTCGTTTGGTCTGACACACGTCACACGCCCCGAAGGTACGAGGTGATTCTTCCTGTGTTTCTGATGAAGAAGATACTTACCGTGTTTGGAGTCTTAGACTTCCCTGTTATGCCCGCGGAAAAGTTGTCATGTGCCTTGAAGCCAACGAGTTTCTTCGACCTCAACCCCTCCAACGACGTTCCGAGATCCAACCAACGTGACAACCAATCGACGCTCCATGACCAGATTTCGGCTGCTCCTGGATGCCATAAAAACCCATAGAAACCACGTCTATAAAGTGTTAATGGGGGCCAAGTGATTCTATAAAGAGTGGGATGTAGATACTCGTAAAGGACCATTTACGTAGCTGTCTATCTTTACTAGTCATGCCATCTTCAATTATCTGGGACGCCCCTCATGTGAATAATGCCAGGGTACATGATGGTTGGAAAATGAAGTATCGACCGAATCAATTGAATATGTTGCAAATTACTGCTCGATGACACCGCCATTGCTGCAAATTTACCTTGTCCAGTTCACTTTGTCCCAACCCAATCTGGCATTACTACATGCACTGATCAGCAGTCTATCGAAAGAGCATCCCATCACATGCTTGACACCATGCTCGCAGATAAGATAACTCTTAATGGCAGGGCACAAGCATGGGTGAATACTTCAAAATGACGCTGATCAATACATTGGATATAACAGCCTGACGCCTACGGTTCGTTCTCTAGAGTATGTATGGGCAACATAAGATAAGGTCGACTAATCTTCCAAGGTAGGCTTGCTCTTGAAAGCTTCAGCTGCCTCTCGGAGAGGCGCCTTCTGGTCTGGAGAAAGAACGGGTACGTGGCCAACAACCGCAGCGAAAACGATACCTACAGTATCTCCTGGGTTGTCTGCTTGAAGCGAACGGAGCTGATTGGACTCGATCGAGCCGCCATTCTTAACATCTACGTTTTCTCGCACGCGTTTCAAAACAGCCTTGCAAAGGTGGTCGGTGTGAAAGTAGTCGAGAGTGAGCTCGGGAACCTCGTCATGAACTGCGAGGGCGACTTGACGAACTAGCTCAGACAGGAGGAGGGCACGGTGCTTCTGTTGGAGATTGTCAGATATATGGACTATAAAGAACACTTGGTGGCAATGGTAGAGAGCTTCATAGCATCTTACCTTGGGCTTTTCGGGGTCGGAGGGGGTGCCGTCGTTGCTTGCTTTGCTAAGCCAGCCACTTCGCTCAAGGATTTGATCAATGACGTCCGCGTTAAGGCCTCTGGGATCCGAGTTGTCCAAGACCCTAGGGGCAAACAAACAAGAACAGACTCCCTTGAACTTCATGATCCGAATGCCAGCTTTTGATGTCATAACGCGATTGTTGTTGGGTTTGTTGCGCTTCGAGATCCATTGCGCAGCCGAAACTCTTTTTGAGAGCCCGAAGTTCTTGAAATACGCTTCTGGGTTCACTGGGGGATCGCCGACGAAGAAGGCGGTCCGGCCCTGTTGCTCCATCATTGAATCCAGAGCGTCCCATTTGTCCCCGTCTTGCAACAAGCCTTCCTGTTGGAGAGCCTGATAGAGCTGGATGCCGTGCATCACGTTACCGGGCTTCGCAGCATACTCGGCCCCCACGCGGTGAAAGAGAGTTCGGACGTAATGCAAGAAGAGACCGCAGTACATCGGGTGATGTTCTAGGAAGTTTGAAGTCCTTGTCTGAAGCCTCGATGCAATGCGAATGGCGTTGAATGGGTCTTTTCCGGGCCCCCATAAGATTGCCAGCTTGTGAAGATCCTGCATGTTCTCCCTGACCGCACCCTCTCGATTGCTACGAATACGCAGAGCCTCTTCGACACTGTCTGCGATTGGCTTCAGGGACCGCTGGAAATCTCTCTCTCCGTTTCGAACTGAGGGTCCGAGGGACTTGAGAATATCGAGGTACACTTGGGCGGAGAAGCATAGCCATACTTCCAATTTACCCGTGTCCATCACGTATTTCAATCCTTTGGTGAACTCATCCTGAACTGGGGATCCCCGAAACAGCTGAAAGAGCATGGTTTGATCCGCGAAGACTTCAAGGAGTGCTGCCTTATCCTCTGCCCATCGCTCGCGAGCGGTGGTTCCTCTTTTCTTGTCATTGTACCAACCAAACTTCCCGTTGTAATTCGGAATGTTTGAGGACGATTCGCTGCTGCTGAAGGCGTGAAGAAGACTGAGAGTAGTGAAGTATAGGTCGGAGGCGTCCTGGTAGCAGTTGAAGTTCAAATCATCACCCCACTGCTTATCAAGAGGGTCCTGGCCTTGAGCTGCGCAAGCAGCCTCATAGAACATTTGGATGGCTTCCATAGCACCTCCAAGCTTCTCCATCGACGTCGCAATTTCTTGCTCCATATTGCGCGCAAGCTGCAGAGCGGTATTGGTGGCAATTGAAACGGCGGCGAGGTCTCTATCTCCTGATTTATACTCGGCCCAGAGCTGGAGAACCTCTTCGCGGAGTTGGCCGAGATCCTTGAGGTACGCAGTGTAAATGAACAGGGCTGCAGTATCGGAGTCGTCTTCCTCAGCTATGAAGACTTCAGGAACCTTAGCCTGACGCTCGATATTTGGGGCAGCTAGGAAGTCCTCAGATGGCTCGTACACGTCTAGGATGGCGAACATATTTTTGGGTCCGTCAACATGCTTGGAACCATTCTTGAGAGCCTTTTCAATGCCGCGGGTCGCGTCTTGTAGAGCAGATACGTCGAAGGCGCCCACCTGGGATTTGAAGGCATCGCGAACGCGCTCAAGAACGGTGACAAAGAAAGCATGTTTATTGTCCCCACGGTAGTCTTTGAATCGTCGAATACCTCCCAGCATGGAAGAAAACCGCTTGCGAGTTTCAATGACACGATTGAGGGATGATATGAACGATTCCGGGACCTTCAAGGAGTCGGACAGCTTTCCCGTGACGAATTGGGCCAGTGGCAGGAAGTCCTTTATAGCGATGATGTGTTTCGGCATCGTGTCCTCAGGCGCTTCCTCCTCAGGCGCCTGCAATGGGTTGATGATAGCCTGTTTCTTAGCCTTCTTCCGCGCCTTGCCCTTCAACCTCTCAGACGTGGGCACTGAAGATGTAGCCTTGGCGGGTGGCTCACTCAGGGGCTTGGAGTAGCCGGAGCTTATCGCGGTGGCAGCTAGCCACGAGGCAACGGCATTAGTATCGCGCTTGTATTGCTTATAGGTTGAAAGTAAGCCTGAAGAAAGTATTATGGCGTATGTGCCGATGGAGATGAGCAAGAGATACCGAGAGGGGTATTAGAGTAGTACCGCAATTTTGGAGCAGGGGTAGAGAGAGAGATTATTAGAGTGAAATCTTAATGATTAACTCGAATACTTGGTAAAAGCGTGTAATCGATTAGTGGTGAGATAGACTGGATCTTCCGAAGTTTAGAGGCTCTGGACGGGTATTGAAGCTTTCACTACCTGCTAGCGAGAGAGTAGGGCCGGCTGAGGAGTAGTTACGTGGCCATAGCCAGTGGGTCGTTATAAAAGGTAGGTAATCTAGTATATTTAATATCCCTGATCCTGTTGGGTGTGGAGAGTATTACACAGGTCTTGTACATTGTTTCAATCTGCTAAGAGGAATCGAAGTCGAGGATGAACCGTAGGTAATATATGCCGTACTATCGCTGAGTTAGAACATAATAAGGCAGGCAATGGATGAACGTGCCTAACACGTAGACACTTAGCCCTTGCGTATTTCTCCCAGCACTATCGTCGCCGTCTCGGCGACTGGCGCAAGGACAGCCCTGCTGGTATACCACCGGCGCTTTGACACTGTCGTGGACGCTTAACAACGTGTGAGAAGTAGCTACTCTAGGCATTTGCTTAATTATGTAATTATAGCAAGCGAACATGGTCGTCTGGGGTAACATAAGTATATTATAGTAGCATCTCCGCTACTTCAGAGACTTCTAGATATATTGCAAATTAAGCGAAAAGCATGGGAAAACGGCCAATCCTCACTGGTTGAGATACTTCTTAAACTTGCTGCCATAGCGCTGTCCCGCGATAGGCAAGCTCTTAATTAGCGCCCAAATCTCTTCCAAATCGTCGTCGCTTAGCTCCACGTCTACGTAGTTCTGCACCACTCGCTCCGCTTTTGTCGACCCGGGAATCGGGATGGCTCCCTGCCGCCGTACCCAAGTGATGGCCACCTGCGCGACCGTCGTACCCTTGCGCTCGGCAATCTTCTCGACCGCCTCGACAAGTTTGAAGTTCTGGATGAAGGCGTCCGACTTGAAGCGCGGTAACATGCGGCGCATGTCGTTGGCGGGGAGATCTTTAGGCTTGCGAAACTCGCTGGTGAGGAGGCCGCGGCTAACGGGGCTGTAGGCGACGAGAGCGATGCCGACTATAGTTATTCTTCGAGTTAGTTATTGCTATATTATGAGGATGCGGCCTGGTATGGCAAGAGACTTACGCTCGTGGCATGCCTCGGCGATACCGTTGGTTACGGCATCGGGCGTGAAAATGCTTAGCTCGATCTCGACTGCCGCGACGGGGTGCACGGCGTGCGCGCGGCGTATGGTCTCGGCGCTGACCTCGCTAAGGCCGATGCCCCCGATCTTGCCTTCCTTAATGAGTTCTGCGAGAGCCTGGACGGAGGTTTCGATGGGGACATTGGGGTCGACTCGAGCGCACTCGAAGATGTCAATCTTTTTGCAGCTACCAAGGACTCGAACGGCCTCTTCGACGGAGGCCCGGATGCCCTCCGGACTGTAGTCCGGGATGTGGGTCTTGCCATCGTAGGCGCCCTTGATGCTGAGGACGACCTTGTCCGCATCCTGCGGGTTTTGCTCGAAGTAGTGTTTGAGTAGGTGTAAGGAATTTCTGTTAGGAGTTCCGTAGTGGATTCCCTGCTTCTGTGTTAGTATATTATATATTAAAGATGGCTTTTGTTGATGGTACCCATACCCCGTTCCAAACGTTGGCACCCTGTTCGAGCGCAGTCTTTATCAGTTTGGTTGAAGCAGAGAACTCAATCTGGTCCCAAGGACGGGTTAATCCTGTGAATCATTGTCAGCAAAAGAATACAGTCTTGTGATGCCTGTTTTTGAGTTTAGCGAACTCACCTATCAGTCCGTAGCCGGTTGGCCCAATGGACTTTCCGATAATGGTCTTGGCGGCTGTAATGGACCTTATATTGGCGATGATCAAGATTGAGGTACTAAGCTTCGACAGGGTATGGTGCTTAAGGTGTAGTGTATAAAGCAGGTATCTCGTAAAAAATGCTGGATTGATAATGTTCCAAGTTCAAAATCATTGGAAGGTATTTTAACTGCGTATATATATACTTTATTTCGATCCAAGCCGTCGTGGCCATCGCCAGTCATTGTAGGTATGCCTACACCATAGGTAGTGCTTAGGTAGTGTACAGTGTCCCCAAAAAATTAAATCCGGCTAATTATCTCCAGGCGCATGAGCCGGGGTCGGCCGCCGCCTCAGCCACATTTGTCGGTCTCTGGTGGGCCTTGGCAGGGTTTACGGAGCTTATGATAAGATCCGGTCCGTCTTACTCACAGGCTGCTGCTGGCGGCGCAGGGAAACCTCGCCCCTTATTGGGCGGTTCCATCGGATTTAGCTCGACATGCCCTGAGTGACGACGCAGCATTCCTAACCGTTTACCAAAGGTCTAATTCGGTGGGCGCGGTCTACTAAAGGCCTAAACGTGAGTGGATGCGTTTCCACTGTTAACTTGGCTGCCTGAACTAAGAAACATGTAGATCCTTTGGGTCTTGAGGAAGGAATAGGCAGACAGACTTTATGATACTTCATCGAGATAATCTCTGAGGTACTTGTTGAAGATAGTATCTGATGCTTAGATATTAGTATGCAAAACGATCTTTAAACTATGGCATGCTTTCGTACCTAGCCTTTGCTATCATCTCTCTAGTTTCGAGACTCGTTACGACGATATGGAATCACCTATCCTGCCGTAGCTGATATCCTACTCTCGCTGTAAATAGAGCCCGGATGACGACTGGCTTTTAGATACTAGCGGCTGAGCTTGCTATGTTACCCCATTCGTTCTATGTCGACCCTATTCTGATTCGAGTCATCTCACTAATAAAGTCGGCATTGGTCCTTATACGATGAATCAGTAGTTGGGCCGCAGCCGTAAAGATCGCGATTTTCTAGCTGGGTGCCGCGCATCTTACGTCTTTTAAGACAATGCCAGACTACTTAATAATGTCTAACCTCTCTTGGAGGTCCTATGCCCCGTCTAATCCGTTTGCCTTTATCAACGTACTCATAGTCTCTTCTTTCTCCCCGTTTAATATGGCGGCTGGGAAATTGATCGCCCGGTCATTATTAGCATACTGTGTGACGATTCCGCGTTCTAGCGTACAAGGAGGTGTAAATAAATCACTACTTCTAGGTGGATAGTTACTATATGTAAAGACTTAACCCCGTGCAGTTGTTAATAAAAAGCTAGAGCAGATGGAAAGAAAGATATTGGGCTTTAGCCTGAGCTTATACGAATAAGCCATTAAAATAATTTAAGAGGAGAATCAAGTTACGATATATAGGTGTTGCGGCCTAGAGCAAATAATAGGTATCAAGCGATAAAAGATTGAAAGTACGGTTAGCTACCGTAGCTTTCCGAATTTAGGCGGACCTATCCGCGATAATCGTTATGGTCTTCTTTTTATAGCTCGCTAAGATGAAATTGCTAGGAGTATAAGCTATAGCTCTGATTAATTGAGAAGTTTATAATGCTGTCCTAGTGATACTTAACGTTTTTAGCCGTGCCTTTAGATGTTTATGTCGATTGACTCTGGACTTGCTAGGTTTCTGCGTGACTGGTTTAAATTAGGCCAATTTTACGATCAGAGTTTGATTAGTTCAGAAGGCCCTTTCCCTGGTATAATATTGCGCGCGATGAGCGGGTCTACGCCGCTCTTACACTTACTATCGAGAGTGAGAGCGTATTGAGCGGATTAAGGCAGGTGTTGTTACTGATTGAGTAGATATGGACGTAAGTCTCGGTTAAAATTACAAAGAGGATACTGGTAAGGAGAGACTTAACATCTTTTATTTAGGAAGAAAGTCAATTCTAGTATCTAATTAGCTTGGTAATCTACTGGAAGAGGCTAGACTCTACTTTAGAGGAATGCTACTTCCTGGTAGTGTAAATACTAATATCTACCTGTGACTCGGTCTCCGCACACTCTCTGCTTCTAATAAACTTGCTGGGCTCTCTAATTTAATGTCTAAATATGTAATTATAATGGCCTTTTGTTCTAATAGCTCCTCTCTGTACGAGCGGTCAGCTACATTGCTCTAACGTCCGCGCAACCAATGCCTTTGTGACTACGAAGAGATATCCTCGGAGACTACAAACGCTTAATACCTACTTAGCGATAAATCTCGAGTTTTCTTTTGAAGGAGGCTGATGTCGGAGAAAGTACCTTTTATAAGGCCGTCATTAGAATAGGCCGGGATGGAAATCATTGACAATAATGGCTTCGATTTTGTCACTACTCTGGGCCATTAATCCAAGAGCAACTGCTAGGATCCGCATGGCTTCCAGCAACCTTGACACATTCATAGTAGTCATTGCTCATTCAGGGCACCGAAGATTTCTCCGCAGAAAGTTAACGATTATTGTTTACCCGGGAGTATTTATATTGCGAAAGTCAAACGCAAGGTTATTATTGGAGCGGCTCTGTCGGCTCCCACGGGACTAGGCCCCCAGCCAAGTCAGGAGACACGCGGGCCCAAGGAACAAGACGCGGAGAAATGAAGATCGTGAACAGTTCTACACTTCTACGAAACCTGATTCTACACATGTGAGTATTAAAGTAAACTTTTGTTTTCGGCTGTGTTGTAACTTCTCTATATTTGCTGCCGAACACCCTTTATGCGTCCATCCAAAGGAAGGATATCTCCACATGCCACTTAAGGGATGCTCGTGATTGCTCCACAATTTGCCGTTAAAGCTACCCGCAATCTTCGGAGAGGAGCGTATATCAGCGCTTGCGGCTAGAAGCGAGCACGACTTTCCGCTAACTTTACACGTCCTCACAATGCCTCCTTGGCATTATGGCCACCTGGGTAGTCGCTTGTCATATGCGGAATGAGCTCTTCGGTCTTGGCAGTCCCACTAATTCGTCTTGCATCCAGACTTCCGCGACTTTTCTAGGAACATAGATTCATCTACGGAAAGATCTCGAGGCGAAGTATTCTATTTCGCCACCAATCATGATGGCGATGAGTAACAATGATGCCTCTCATTTCTCTTTCAACCCTGTTGCCTTCTTCTTCCTAGTAACTGGAACTCGTAAGTTGTCAGTTGCCAGATTATGTAGCAGTCGACTAAGCGCCATTGGAGCGTATCCAATAGGTACATGTAAGTATTTCGAGTCATGGTTGGCAATATTGATCGGTGATATATAGTGAGAATGCTAGCTGCTTTATGATTGAGTTGAGCCCGGTAACAACCTTCATCTCTCAAGTTTTTGACTTCAAGCCAAGCCATGCACTGTTCTCAATTCTTTAGCCTCGTAGCTACAGCTACTGTGGCAGGGGCACTCCTGCTTCAGGTTGATACCGGAAGTCCTGGCCATGAGTTAAGCCCTTTGCTCCACGGTCTTATGTTTGAGGACATCAGCAACAGCGGCGACGGAGGTACAGTTGAACCCTGGCCCATCAAAGATAACAATTGGCTGAAACATGAAATACGGTGATAGGCCTCTATTCACAGCAACTAAGAAATAACGCATTTCAAGGCGGTGTGACTACCATCGACCCCTGGACGGTTCATTATGGCGCGGCGGAAATTTCCCATGATACCCAAACACCACTGACCGACGCCATCACTTCATCCCTCAAAATTACAATCCCCATCGGCGCTGATGGATTTACTGGCGTTGCGAACCCTGGCTACAGAGGCATCATCGTGAACGGGGGGTACTACAATACCACTTTCTGGCTTCGTGGTGAATTTCAGGGCGATGTCAAGATCCGCCTTCTAAGCAATGAGACTGATGTCGAACATGGCTGGGCTATCATTCCCGTCGACTCCAAGGCCGATTCATGGACGCGATATGAAGCCGGATTCTGGACGACAGCCGCCGCCGATGGGAACAATCTCTGGGTTTTCGAGATCTTGGCCGAGACTCTGACTAGTGGAAGTATCAATCTTGGTTACCCGACTTTGTTTCCTCCTACTTTCAAAGGTAGAGAAAACGGCTTGACAGTCGATCTGTCCGAAGCCCTCGTAAATCTCAAACCCCAGTTTCTGAGATTTCCTGGGGGTAATAACCTGTGAGTTGCCTTGGTATCCTTATCAACTGCAAGTCCAGAATCCAATCACTGACTACTTACTATGTAGTGAGGGAGGCGGCCCGCATGACCGCTGGAAATGGAATGAAACAATAGGTTCTCTTGAATCTCGACCAGGACGTTGGGGTAGGGCCTCGTTGCACCTTGATGTTACTGCGATGTGAGGCAATCGACTGATGTTTTTGACACTTATATAGGGACTTGGGGATATGTCAACACTGACGGCCTTGGCCTCATGGAATACTTCTAGTGGTGTGAGGATATGTCCTTGGAGCCTATCCTGGACGTATGGGCTGGTCTCGGACTTGCGGGACTCCCACCATTAGTAGGAGATGAGCTTGAGCCGTATGTTGAGGACGCAATCCGTGAGATTGAGGTATGTTGTCTACCTATATTACTACGCATCAGGTAGTCGTGCTGAACAGCGTCTTAGTTCGTCATTGGTGACATCGACACGTCTGGCGGGGCACTTCGCGCGTCTCTCGGATACCCAGAGCCGTACCAGCTCAACTTTGTCGAGGTTGGGAATGAAGATAACCTCGCCGGCGGCTGTGAGTCTTATAAGCAGCGCTTTGTGTAATTTTTCGATGCCATTAAAGAAGCATATCCGTAGATAACTGTCCTTACCTCCACGTCTGACCGAGCCTGTCTGCCGGACCCAATTCCCGAAGGCGCATGGCTTGACTTCCACGACTACAATGTGCCGGAGAATTACATTAACGCATATGAGTTTTATGACGACTGGGATCGCGCTTATCCTGTGTTTATTGGTGAATATGCCAGGTGGGGCGTCAAATGGTCCGATATGCGAGGTGCCTGCTCCGAAGCAGTCTATATGATGGGTTGGGAGCGTAACGCAGATGTGATTAAACTAGCTGCCTACGCACCTACACTACAGAATTACGACCCTGTCAACGGCCAATGGACGGTAAGATACCGATTCTCTCACAGTATATATATGTTATGCTGACTTGTCTCGGGTTAGCCTAACCTTATTCCCTTTACTAACAAACCCGATGGCATCGTTTATACTCCATCTTATTACGTTAAAAGGATGTTTGCTAATAATCATGGCGATGTTGTTGTCCCCGTTACAGCTGATGTAGAGCTCAACCCTGGTGAGTTCAGTTCGCTCACTACTCTCAAGGCTTTGATAGGAACTGACTGCGAAATTCTTGTTTCACTAGTCTGGTGGGCAGTAAGTATGAAAGGAGAGGGCTAAGTAATCGTAAAACTTGCCAACTATGCTTCCAACTCGACTGAGATTCGTATACAAATTACTGGAAAGGTAGACGTTAAAGGATCATTTACCTCAATCACTGCCAGCCCTGATAATGCTAACTCAGTTGAAAACCCTACGCTCGTTTCCGCGCCCGCTGTGCTGGAAGTTTCTGTAGACCCTTACGGTGTTTTTACCATCGAACTAGGGCAGTTCGGCGTTGGTGTACTCGCAGCCTGAGGTAGATTTACGTCAACGTAAACCACTTAAGAAGGATCATTGCGGTGATCTTGATGTAACAAGCGCGACCGTTGGTGATTAAGCTCATAGCGTCGATTGAGCTACTATACGATGGTCTGAACTTCGATTCATTCTAAGATAGTTGCGGATATGGTTAGATATTGTCTATAGACTGTCTTGGCCTATTTTTTCATACAACAGCCCTTGCAAAATCTTTCCCAGGAGGTGTTGCGTTGTGAAAGTGGCTAGTTAGTTAGAACGATTACAAGGGTAGCTGATTTCAATCTTACCGACGGTTTAATTATTAATCCGTCCTGCAACGCCTAGTTCTGCTACCTGCTTTGTTAATCGTTATGCGGCTGAGGTGTGCGGGCGGGGGATGTTAAGTTTTAGCTCCATTTATACTCTTGTGGGGGAATCATACGGACGAAGTTCGACCGAAGACTATACCTATTAAATTGAATTTTAAGCGTCCTAAAAATACTGGGTCAGAAGTCTAGCCCGATGGCAAACCAACCTGCTAAATTTAAGTTTTCTTTTGGGCTTCTACTACTGGACTTTTATTCTTTCTCTATATTACGTGTTATCTGACACGACGAATCTTAGATGGTGAACATCGCTATTGCTGGAGGAACTGGCGGCGTTGGGCGTAGCATTGTGGATGCACTTAAAAATGATCCGAGACACTCCACTATTATCCTCTCTCGTACGGTACGCCATGATCGTGCTTCTAAGAAGGCTTTTCCCTTTTATAAATTCGTTTGTGCTTACAATAGTTAATCGTAAACAGGGAGCGGCAGAAGATAAAGCTAGAGTCCCTGTTGTGGTAGTTGATTACGACGACAGAACGTCCCTGCAGACGACCTTGGAAACCCACGAGATCCACACCGTGATATTAGCTCTAGCCCTCCACATCATTGGGGTTGGCCAGGCACAAATCAACCTCATTCAAGCAGCCGACAAGAGCAATTGGACGTAGCGTTTCATTAGTAGTAGCTGGGTAGTTAGACCGTCGAGTCAGTGAGTGAATTCTAGTCGCTGTGTGCTTGTTTGAAAAGTATGAACCTACTGAGCCAGAGTCTTTGTAGGTATTTGAGTCTTTTGCTACACGGGTTCCAGCACATTGCTTCTTACAGCGAGCTGGAGAACTTACGACTTGAATGGACAGCATTTAATTGCGGGTGGTTCCTTGACTATTACGCAATGCCCTATGTCGAGATATATATTCCGTAAATAACCTTTGTTGTTGACATGGCCAACAGGTAAGCATCTATACCTGGAGATGGAAAATAAAAAATGACATTCACCTATACCAAAGACGTTGCCAAATTCGTCGTGGAAGCTCTCGACCTAGCTACATGGGAGCACGATACATATCTCATTGGCGACGAAATGACCTGGGAAGAATTCATTGTAATTGCCGAAGAGGCTCGTGGAGGTAAAATCTAGTTCCCTAAAGTACATGCTGATCGACTTACTAAGACTTTTATTGTTGATAGGGAAGAAGTTCTATGTCACATACGATAGCGTTCAGAAGCTCCAATCTGGCGAGATCACGGAGCTGCTAGGCCAGGTTGCTGCATACTCGTACTTCCCGAAACAGTGGGCTTAACAGCTATTCTCCACCTTTGGTTTCTGGGTCACTGAAGGTCTCTTCGATTTCCTAAAGGATAGGGCCCTGAATTAGGTATTCCTATACCTAAAGGTTACTGGAGTGAAGGAAATGCTTCAGAACTCATGGGAAGGTCGGTAGTGTTTTGGAAATGGCGTCGCAATGTTATTAAAGCCGCATCTTTAACTGTCTTTTCCCTTAACGTAGCTCAAAATTTATCAGTGCTTCACACTTATTACTAAGAATGGCCCAATCTCAAATGGAGTTCTAAGGATCGACGCACGTACCTCCCTGAATGAAGTGAACGTTTCATCGAGATATAGTAGATACCTGAATCGAGTATGAGCTGTTGGTTCATTGGAACCGTGTGACTAGCTAAAAGGCTCGTCTACTTGATCAATTCATCTCAAGTACATGTAATTATAAAGGTAGCTAGGTAGGGTGCCGGAGACATTGTCGCAGGTCGCCATCGCAGAACCCATATTTTCAGACAAGGACATGTTGCTCATGTGTGGTTCTTCATCTTTGTTTGCTCTCGTATCGCGAGGGGGCTGGGACCATTTGCATTACCGTAGTAATCAGTGACTTAATAAGTCCGGGACTAAATCTGGTCAGGTTGATATTGTATGGCTGATGTAATGGGAATCTGGTATTCTAGGAAACGCCATTGACAATGGGGAGCATAGGCAAATCGTTTTAGTTGGCACAATCCCATAGGTCGCATCATAGCTTCCTAATTTGAATTTCATTTGCGGGAGCGTAAAGTCAGAGCTGAATGGCTTGAATTTCCCTCTGGATAAGATACGCACACGACTAATATATTTCTTTTATCTTGACAGTCCTCCGCCTCGGGCCCCGCGTCCAACGGTCGAATGTAACCAGGCGTGATTAATGATCATACCCACGCTCGCCTTCGCCAAAGTCTTCCAGTATAAGGATTCTTTTTCCCATACCATAGCGCCTGAGTCGAACACGGCATTAAAATTGCTCCGAGCCTAATTGCTATGGGCCTGAGTGGGGGTCCTTAGTATCAAGGTCGTCTTTCCTCGGTGGCCAAGTTGTTGTTGTTCGCCATTCGGTAATAGTTTTCGAAAGATCAGCATGGATTGTGATTAGTTCCGACTGTATGATTTTACTACCGATAGAAGGTTGTGCGTTGAACGGATGAATGAATTTTGATTTTCTTTCCCTGTACTCGTAGTCTTTTTGTTAACTTAATATTAAAAACAACCGTAGAACATGTGGCCACTACTGCCCACTTTCTTGACTTTTTTTCAGTATACCGTGGCCCTCGAGACGATACCGAGAGTCACAATGGCTCTCTTAGAGGAGTTCAATCTTTACATTCCTGACTCTAGGATCGAAGATTTCGCATCGCTCCTCTCTGTTTCAAAGATCGGTTCCGAAACCTGGTGCAACAAACACAACAATAAGGACTTTGGCACTACTAGAAACTGGCTCGCTGAAGCAAAAGACGCGTGGCTTGAGCTTGATTGGCGAAAGTAAGAAGACCGCATTAATAGCTTCCCTAACTTCAACGTCACTATTAATGACGTCGATGCTGGACTGACAAACATCCATTTCGTTGGCCTCTACTCTAAGAGAAGCGATGCCTTACCGCTACTCTTTCTGCACGGGTGGCCCGGATCTTTTCTCGAGTTTCTTCCGTTGCTCGAGATTTTGAAAAGCAAATATACTCTAGAAACTCTTCCTTACTATGTTATTATCCCCTCTTTGCCTAACTATGGACTTTCCGGTGGGCTAATCGATATTGAACTTACGCTTGAAACAGCGGCGAGGCTGATGAATGAGCTTATGATTACTCTTGGCTTTGACTCAGGCTATGTTGCCCAGGGCGGCGACATCGGTAGCTTCCTCGCTAGAATTCTGTTAGCGAATCACCCACAGTGCAAAGCCTTCTATAGTAAGTAAGATTGGCTCTATACGTTCAGTGGGTGTTCAGATTTGTACTAATGCTGAGGTAGTTAATATGCTTGCTCTATTATCCCAAAACGAGCTTCTTACGACGGTCAACATCACCGAAGATGAGGCACAGCACGTACAGCGAATGCTGAACTTCAGCGCTACCGGGTCGTCGTATCTTCTGGAACATGGTCTAAGACCCTCGACGATCGGCCTCGTCCTATCATCAAGCCCACTTGCCATGTTGGCCTGGTAAGCTCCATATCACGGCTTGACTTGCAAGATACTGTCGTTGCCTAACATTATCTAGGATTGGCGAGAAGTTCCTCGAGTGGCCTGATTCCCGTTATCCACTTTCTGTTGACACAATTCTCACTATGGTAAGCTTTTACTGGTACACAGACACTTTCCCAAGAAGCATGTATCCCTATCGTGCTCTCGCGAGCGCAGCAGCAGCGAATGTCCTCTTTTCTGTTGCAACGTCTAAAGAAAAGCCATTTGGCTATTCGGTTTTTCCAGCAGAGAATATTCTCTTGCCGAAAGCGTGGGCTGAGAAGGCCTATCCAAATCTTGTGTTTTACAAGCGCAATGACAAGGTATGCCCGATTCCATCAATAACTTTTGTGTTCATGTTGTACATCTAACGTTTGAACTTACACAAGGGGGGACATTTTGCGGCATTAGAGCAGCCCAGAATCTTCCTGCAGAATATTGAACAGTTTCTAGCGGTTGCTCGACCACTGATTGGGCTTTGATGGTTTGGCGTCCAGGCGTGTGAGGTCGTCCACTTCTGGTCGTCCTTGAAGGATTGAACTACGAATTATCTGGTGTTAGTCATACTCTTCATCACAGTGGCACAGATAATTCTGGGTCACCAGTGCCTTCCGAAAGTCGTAATATTGATGGAATTTGAACCTATGCTAGATTATCTGTCCTTGTTGTTCCAGTTTGCTTTCTTCAAATTCGCTATCCTGGCGGGACTACACAACTGCGATCCCCGTAATGTCACCCAACTCGGAAAATAATACAGTCTTCTTGTAAGTTTTCGTATCAACAGAGTAGACGCCGCCGGCAAGGTCTGTCACGTAGGCTAGCCCCTCCCGCTGGTCCAACGATAGACCAATGGTTTCGTGTAATCGTATTGCCAGAGTTTCCTGTTTTTCGCCATCAGGCATCATGGCTCGGTTAAGTGAATTTCCAGCAGGAGGATCTCCTCGATCTGTCCAATATAGCGTGCCACTTTCCTCGTCGATGTCGAGATCAATTGGCTCGGGAAGCTCGCCGATCACCATCTCGATTTGATGGAGTCGGTCTTCGAAAGAGGCATGTATAGGTGCGCGGAAAATCCGCCCTTGATTGCCCTTGGATGGTCCTTTCTGTGTCCAATAGAAGACGTTTTGCTGTTCATCTACAGCAATGCCAACGCACCACCTTCTTTGATCCACCCTCTCTTCATCGGTGTTGCCGGTTGAGACGAGGACCTCGACATCAGACCCATCGAAATTGGACCGCATGACCTTCATACCCTCCCGGTCGCACCAGTACAGCTTCATACTCTGCTTGGCGATAGTGATTTGCTTCGGCGTGAAGACGCCAACGGTACCTGCTGACACAATGATTCGTTGGTTTGAACCATCCAAGTTGGCACGCTCGATTGAGCCGTCGTTGGACTTCAAGCTAGATCCCATGTTGGTCCAGTACATATGACCTTTGGCATGATCAATCACAATACCGTCGGGTAGAGTTGCCATGTTGTTGACTACTGTTTGAAGGTCGCTTCCGTCTGTTAGACATGATAAGATGCGCCCACGGCGACTTTGGGGAGGGTGGGATAGGTCGGTGTCGAGGATGTACAGGCGTTGTTGGATTTGAGAGCCCATGTCGCCTGCCTAACGAGGGTTATAATTAAGGTGTGGGATGGTAATGTGCTAAGTTAAGATAGTCAGTTGATCGAGAAACTTGGGTCGATCGTCTTTTCAGAATCAGATATATGACCAAGAACTTGTTTTATGACTTGGCACTTCCTGAGTGGGGGCGTATTTGTTTGCATGAAAGCCTTCGAATTATTAGATGAAGTGAAAAAGTTTGCGTTTTCGTTGTATCGTCATTGCCCTGCTTTGCGCGTCGATTCGCTCCCGACCACTCCTGGATTCCCGATAAAGTCGGTATTCGCACTTCGGTCTTCGTGACACGCGCATAGCGTTATTGTGTCCACACTGTTGTCATGTAACACGGACCCGACCTCTTCTGAATGGGATTGATTCCGCACTGATCAGGGAGCCTCCCCTTCCGCTAATCTAGTACCCACCCCTTGTTCCGCGCACATGGTACCCCGGTAGAGAGGCCATTTACGTCTGGTAGAATCGGCAGATCACTGCTACTAACGAAGAATAGATCGTCGAGCAAAGAACGTGGCATACCAAATACTCGGGTTCTATTGCGGCTGGAAAATTGCGCGAGTAGCCTGGGCTTTTGGCACTCGGTAACTGTACTATTGTTCATTCACCTATTTAGGCATCTACTTAAGCTGCATGCTCTGGCTTAGTAGAGCCGAGATGACGGATCATTTGTACTATTAAGTCTATGCTGAGGATATCTAAGGATAAGGTTTGGATGGAAAGTTATGAAAAGCTCGTATGTAGTGATTCAACCCTCTATACTACTCTGCGACCGGGTTCTTGCTTGTTTCTGTATAGCTATCCCACTCTTTTCTTACGTTTAGAAGTCGTACTAACTCCTTATCTCGCTGCTTCGCGAGCTGTCTGTAAGCCCTGTCATCCACGGCCTGCCTCGTTCCTGAGACCCATTTCTGCCTCAATTCTTCCGTGATTTGAGGATCTTTAGGTGCGTACTAGGACATCAGGGGACCTAGCAAATGATCCGCCATATACTCGATTCTGCCTTCACCGCCTCCCAAGTGTATTAACATGTTCGGACCTATGACGCCCTATCGAAGACCGGGGCTATAACTCATTGCTTTGTTAATGGCCTCGACTCTAGCAACGTCCTCCTGCAGTAGGTACATGACCTCTCTTATCAAGGCTGCCTGGAGACGGTTGGCGACATGACTGATAACTTCCTTTTTAATGTGCACTGCCCTTTTCCCTATCTTTTCGTAAAACTCCATGGTGGTGCTGATAGTTTCAGATGATGTCTGCCCACCGGCGACTACCTCCACAAGGGGGATGAGGTGCGGAGGGTTGAAAGGATGACCAACGACGCATCGTTCAGGCCGGCTTGGTTTATCTATTCCAAGCTGTATGCTTGAATAAGTTAGACCACTGCTGCTTGTAGTAATGATTGTGGTTGGCCGAACAATGTTCGCCATGTCGTTGAACAATGTCCGCTTGAAATCCAGTTTCTCCGGTCCGTTTTCTTGCACAAAATCGGCGTCTACGAGAGCCTTAGTCATGTTCGTCGTGAAGAAAATGTCTTCTACTTTCGCTGTGGCATTCTTGACGAGGCCCAGCGTCGAAAGAATAGGCAGGGCGTCAGTGACAAGGGATCGAAGGAACGTTTCGGCAGCAGGGTTGATATCGAAAGCTGATACTTGGAGGCCCTGTGCTAGAAAAAGAGCAGCCCAAGAGGCTCCAATAGAGCCACAACTAACAATGGCGACCTTTTGAATATGTGACATGTTTAAAAATAAGATGAAAATGCGGATAGGGGAGTTCTTTTGGAAAATTTAGAACGGCGTGGGTTTTGAAGAGGCTGCTATGTTGTAGTATCTTGGTTCAATGACGGTTGGGTGTTACAGTTGATTAAGATTGCTAGATTGAGAGAAGTAGGATGGAGCAACGTAGTCGCCGGGGGAAAAGGTGAAGTCTTATATTTATGGTAACAGATAGCATAGTAAGCATCTATAGATTACCTGCAGTGGCTGATCTTGGAAACGAAGCCAGTATTATGAAATGTAGAGATCGGGTTATCGTGGGTACATGTAACAAAGACCTGCTTGCCGGCGCCTCCGAGAGGGAGAAGAAGATTACCGGGCCGATGTTGGGGCTTAAAGTCTCGAACTCCGAAGAATTGAAATGTGGAGAGCCCACAATGCTGACGAGTGGATACCGATGAAGATACCGTTTCACGGGGGAACGGGCATAATTCCGCGCGCGGAATCAGAGTAGCGGGTCCTCAACTCACGCGACAGCTCCGGATCGCCAGAGCTTGGCTCTCCCGGCCCCCACGTTACTGCCGCTAAATATTCTAGAAAACTTCTACTCTGTTGAAATGGATTCCCACGAGTTGGACCATGACTCTGTTCCAAGAGAAACCAGGTGAGCATTACACCGACACGGAATACGGAGTGGCTAGTGCTGATCTCTTTGCAGACTTAACGTCATTTTCGCTACGTAAGTAAGTGCTAGCTATTCTAATAATCCTGGCTTTTGCTTGAGACCTCGGCCTCGAACTCCGGCTTTCGCGTTGATATTGCACCCGGTATGTGGACCCTATGCCCGTAGCATTCGGCTTACACTGGGCATCGATATGAGTCCGAGTAACGTCATTTTTCTCTGTCCTCTTCCCCACAACCTCGGCCTCGTGCTGCATATTCCCGCAATGCTCTACGGGACTAAATTTTTGATAGCGGTCACACCGCGTTACTTTGCGGTCCTTCCGAAACCCCTGGTGTCACCTTCCGCTCTATATCCGCGAGGTTCGTCCTTGGTAACCGCATATCCCTTGAGGCGAAGGCTGTTGAAGAATACTATATTTATATCTACTACCCTCTTAGCTAATCGACCTTTTCTCTGCATTAGCATATTTACATACCACACTCGAAAGGCTCCATCCCGAACTAACACAACTCCATACACCCTGTTTAGACTCATATACTCCATAATTATTAAATTTGCCCGTTACTATGGCATTAGAAAGGATTCCCGATGTTTACGGTCCGGGCACCTTTATAGACAAGACCTTTACCCCCGTACCCGAAGATACCGAGCGGATCTTTCGTCTCATAGCAAGCTAAACTCCGGGCTTTACTCAAGATGAGCGTCTACTTTCCAGAGTCACGTTTACCGGAGAGGCGTATCCCGTTATCCCCGGCCCCATCAAGGCGGTTTCTGTCGCTGCCGCCCTTCACGCCATGACCGGCGTGCTTGCAGATGAAATTCTAGCCATCCGCGGCGTCAATAAGGAGGACAGACAAATATCTGTTAACACTACACATGCAGCTGTCTGGTTTGGCTGTATAGCTACTGTATTCCTCGATGGTGTCGATGTTGTTAGCATGGTCAAGCAGGGCCAGCTCAAGAGCCTTCTGCCTGATTGGGAACGGGGTTGGACCGACACTCCCCTTAAATACCGTGCGACTGGCCTCTACCTAACCAGCGATCCTGAAGTATGGTATTCTCTTTATGGTAGCATGAACGCTGATCTAGTCCTGCGATCTATCGGCGTCGACCCATTAGCACCAATCAGTTCCAACGACGAGGCAGCCGTGCACATTGCTGAGAGCACCTCAAAGCTTAGCCCAGAGAAAATGGAGGTTACAAATCTGTTAAATGGATTTTGCGGCAGTATCTGCTTCACTCCTAAGCAGTGGCGCGAGTCTGAGATGGGACGGTCCCTTTCTAGGCACCCTCTAGTCAATGTAAAGAAGCAGGAGCAGACGATGCCTACACCGCCGATCGCGTTTCCGCCTCTCAGCTCCAACGACAAACGACCCTTGGCAGGGGTTAAAGTTGTGGAAATGACCCGGGTTATCGCTGGACCAGAGATAGGGACCATTCTTGCTTCATACGGCGCAGATGTAATTCGCGTTAACCCTCCACACCTTCCGGACATTAACATCATGCAGCTATCATTGAACGCTGGTAAGCGCACGATCGCCATCGATCTGCGAAAAGAAGAGGATGCTTTAATTCTCAAATCGCTCGTTTCCGACTGCGATGTGTTCATCTAGGGGTTCCGCATTAACAAGATGCCCAAGTTTGGCCTTGGGCTGAACGATCTCTTGAAAATGGCTGGTGATCGTGGCCGAGGAATCGTGTATGTCACCGAAAACTGCTATGGACCGGACGGATATTATGCCGAGCGACCCGGCTGGTAACAAATTGCCGATGCTGCGGCTGGCTCTGCCTATGTTATAGGAAGATCTTTGGGACTTCCGAATAACGAGGCCGTTCTTCTTAGCTTGCCCATTTCCGACATGTCCACCGGTGTCTTGGGCGCGGTTGGCGCAATGCTAGGACTGAAGCGGCGCGCGACTGAGGGGGGAAGCTACTACTCATACGCCAGTCTCGTGGGCGTTAATGCCTATGCCCTTACCGAAGAGGTCGGTCTCTACCCTGAAAGCACTGTGGTAGAATGCAAGCAGCGCTTCTAATGGGGTGAAATGAGAGGTGCTTATCATGTTCTGGATCTTCTAGTGACTGTCTGGAATGGATGGACAAAAGTTCTTGGTGACTTCTTTAACCCTGAAGGCGAATGGTTCTAAAGCTTTGATTTAAGTGCCTTCGATAGGAAGCGCTTGAGTATTTTGAGACCGGTGGTCAAGTTTGAGGGGGAAAAGGAAATATCCTCCGAATGGAAAACTCCAAGCGTTCCGTACGCCTTCGAGAAGGCCGAATACGTTAGGTTCCGTTGAACAAATGTTTGTAATAATCGTATCTTAAAATACTAGTAGATCTATACTACATATACGCAAGGTCCTTGATAAAGAAACGTGACATAGCTGATATAGCTGCTGTCTGAATGTCTTCGTATAGGTAGCGTAAGACTCTTCGAGAATTAAGAAGATATCGTCACATCTAAAGTTTCGAAAGTAAGGTTCTTAATGGGCTAGCTTATAGTTCACTTTCTCCTAAACGAAGAAGATCGTGATTTTTAAGTGTGTCCTTCTTAAAGCTAGATAAGGACTGCTTTAGCATGGCAGCCGAGATTTCGCTAACCCTAATACTTGGTAGTGACACAGTCCACCATAATGCACACGCAATAGCCATTTTTAAGAAGTCGTTAGGTGCTGTTATTAGTCCAGGCTTAATAATACAGGCATCGAGTTGTGATTCAAGTTCTTTAGCGAGAGCCAGGACCGCAGTTTCAGTTCTTCCCTGTTATATAAAGGCGTTAGAGATGAAGTAGAATGAATAAAGTGGTATATGTGTCTGAATGTTATAAGTCGAAGCTAGTGTTGGAGTCTCACTGAAAATGGGGAGGGCGGGAATAGTTGATAGACCCGCAAAAGTGAGTACTCAGGCTTGAAACTCGGAGTTTTGGACTGGTCTCTCTCTGTTTTGGTACTACTTATGTATATGAAACGGAACGGTGTAAGGTTTTTAGTCTTAGCCGTTAAAGAGCTACGGGCTTCTAGCATTGCTCGCAAACCGGCGAGAGGTGATTCGTAGCAAACTCGACAAATCTCATTCTAGTTATATAATGTCGATTTTGAGGGTGTGATAGCTACGGTCCTATTGCCCCACGGATGATCACTTTTAGTATAAACTCCAATTTCAAGTTTAGAGCATATAGAATAAGCGTACTAGATATATGTATTAGCAGTGGCGAACTCTGCTTTAGTTTCGACAGAGTACTGGTCGTAACCTTCAACAACGATATTTCTCAGCTTTGAGTGATCGGCATCGGAACGAGATTCTGCTTGTATGACCAGCGGTTTTCGAGTAAGAGCAATGACTGTCTTTATTGTAGGGATACGAAGACTCTGTTTAAGCAACTCCGTTCCTACGAAGCCGCTTGCACCAGTAATGATAAGCTTTATATCGATCTAAGTGCTGGAGTATGAAGCAAAAGCCGGTCCGTAAAGACGAATCGGCCCAAGGGGAGCTATCGGTGGCTTGTGACGGCTACAAGTTGTTATTCACAAAAGACCATTATTAAGACTTAGGACCCGACACAGAGGCGCAAGTTTACTTATATAGGTACTCGATGATCTCACTCGTTATGCCCGATCCTTTGCATGCCATCCTACACGCCCTTTAACGAATGACGTTTGCAGGTTCACAGTGGATTCGAGTAAGTACTAAGATGAAATACGCTGTGGCGCAGTTCAGAAGGGAAACGAAGTAGATTAGTGGTTCCCGATACAGTCACAGGAAGAACTTTTGTACTTAGCTCTGTCCCGGGGCTCGCTCCTCAAAAGGTGAATGTATCTTGCAACTTGAAGCAGGTACCAGATGATGGTGGTGATGGTGGGGTGCTTTTGCATGTAGGCATGCCTGAACTGGGTATTTTACACATCAAATCGGTTGGTGGGGTTCTTGGTTTCCTTGCAAAGCCTTAGGCCCAACTGAATATATAGGAAGCGAATATGGAAATATTGAGACTTGGTCCTATATCGTGATTCATCAACCTTCTACCAGGTTGCTAACTAAAGTAAGAGATAGGTGGCCACTCAAAGCCTTGACTGAACTAGCAGAAGTTGAATCCCAGCAAATCGTTCGAGTGACAATTATTAAGGGCATTCTGATACTCCGGGATTCCACCCATGAAACTCAAAGCTTCACGCTGTTTTCCAGGAATGTTGCCCCCCATGTACCAGGTCGTCTTGTTGTGTGATAAAAGCGTTGCGTTACAGAAGTCGGCCGTCAAACGTCCCCATGTCTGCTCGGCTGCGGGCTGAGGATCAATTCTTGATAGCCCCCTATCTCGTAGACGAACTAGTGTCTCAATGATCCAATCACTTTGTATCTCCGAGATGACTGGCCCGATAGCAGTTGCGGTCGGACTCTGTGGCCCGTACAGGAAGAACAGGTTCGGGAAACCTGAAGTCGTCATACCCAGGTATGTGCGAGTTCCAGTTTTCCACATTTCGTTCAGTGACCTGCCTTTCAGACCACGGAAGTTGACTCTGCTGAAGCTTCCGGTGATGGCGTCAAACCCCGTTGCGAGGATCAAAGCGTCAAGCTCATGGATAATGCCATCCTCCATCCTCACTCCATTTGGTAGAATCCGGTCTATGGGATTTTTCTTTAAGGCGACAAGGCTGACGTTATCTCGGTTGAAAATCTCGTAGTAGTTTTGTTCAAGGGATGGCCGTTTCGTGCTAAATGGGTAGGGCGGGTTCCTTGGAGCGAGGTTCTCGATCAATTCAGGGTCGTCCACGTGTATTCTCTGTCGAACTTTGTCTCGCCAAAAGTTGTAGAACAGGTGGTTCGCTTCCAGATTTGTCATAAAGTCTGAGTAATTGCCATGAGTAGGCGCAAATCCGCCCTCCTCCCAGAGACTTTCAAAGAGGAGTTGCTGCTGCTCGGGTGTGTCATCCATGGCCTTCCTGGTGACCACTGGGTATGTAAAGCCGGCCCTAGACTTCTTCATTTGGGAAAAAAGGTCTTCATAGCCACTCTTATCTGGCTTTCCATCCACCGAAAACCTCTGTCTCATCGGCATGGTACAGTTTGGTGATCGCTGGAAAACAACGAGCTTCTCGGCGATTGGACCTATCTCCTGAACCAGTTGAACGCCAGTGGCCCCTGTCCCAATGATGCCGACGCGTTTGCCGGAAAGATCCAATGGTTCGTGAGGCCAATGAGCGGTATGAAACAATGATCCATCGAAGCTGTCAAGATCATTTAGATCGGGAATGTATGTCTTGGCGGCAAACCCCATCGCGGGTAGCAGGAAGCGAGCTGACATAAGTTGGCCATGGTCGGTGATAATATTCCAACGGTTGGTGTGTGCATCGAATGTTGCATCAGTAACCCTCGCGCCGAAAGTGATGTCCCTACTAAGATCCCACTTACGGTCAACGAATTCGAAATATCGGAGAAGCTCAGGCTGACTGGGGTATTTCTCTGTCCAAGCCCATTCTCTCCAGAGCTCAGGATCAGAAAACTCATAGAAAGGCGTGGCAGTGTCGACACGGGCGCCGGGGTAGCGATTATGCCACCAAACGCCTCCCAATCCGTGGCCTTCTTCAATGACCTGGACTTGGAATCCCTGTTTGCGTAGGTTGCGAAGAAGGTAACATCCGGCAAACCCTGCACCAATGACGATAACGTCCGAATGCAGTTCTTTGGTGTGTGACGGCATTATCAAATCGAAGCTTCCTGTTCCTCAAGGTATAGAAACGTGATGGTTATGATATTGTCTGAGGGTGTACCGAGGAATCAACATCATTATAAGAGTCTTATTTATATTGATGTTGCCTGTTTTACCACAATCGCATCGATGAATACATTTGTTGTTGTGCTGCGTCCTACACATCAACCCCAGTGTCTCCGATGGTAGATACACTCGATCACAACTCCCTGCACCTGCATTATCAGCCAGTGTTTCACGGCTTTGCCATCCGATAGTTAAGGCACAAAGTGTTAGTGGCATGCTAAGTAATCAAGAGGTAGATGACAAACCTTCCTGGGAGCGTTCTCCCTTCCCCGACTATCATCGGATGCGTTTCCCGTAGCGGCACTCAGGTTGTGGAGGGAATGTCCATCAATCCTTCAACAGAAGCATGCGTCGTAAACGGGCAAAGGGCAGGAGTATCTTTCATATTGACTTGGCGCATGCCGCCGGCGGGATAACATGCCACTTTCTAATTGCCGATGATAACGACCAGCAGGACAGGTTTTGCTATCTACCTTAAAGCAGGCAATAACGTGATGTGGATTTCGCGGATTGCCGCAACACATAAGACGGGTCCCCGATTTCCCGCCTTCCGACTGACCATGATTTACCATCCGCTTTCCAATCGTCCCCCACAGATTGAGTCTTTCTGACCGGCTATACGATGTCGCATCTCACACCACCTTTTCCCACCAGCAAAGATGACAAGTCGGGGGATGAAAAGACTGGCGTAGAAGACCTGCAACCCACACGTAGTATTGTTGTGGGTCAGGTCGAAGATGATCGAAACGGCGAGTTTCACAGGTCCATTTCTCCGCGTCAAATTCATGTCAGTCTTTACTACACGCGAGGAGCCGTTGTCGAATGTTCTACTCACTATGACAATAGATTATATCTCTTGGCTCCAACATTGGAAGCGGCGTCTTTATCGCAACTGGCAAGGCTTTAGCTACTGGAGGCCCCGGCAATATGGTTGTTGCATATTTTTTGGTCTGCAGTTGTGTTTGGGCTGTCCTTCAATCACTTTCCGAAATGACAATTGCTTTTCCGGTATCCGGTAACTATATAGACTACGCTGACCGCTGGGTCGATCCAGCATTGGCGTTTGGTGCTGGGTTCGCTGAATGGCTTGGTGAGTGAGGCAAAAGGCGATACTGATTGAAACCTTGCTGTCACTAACTTTCGAATAGGATGGGCTGCGATAGTAGCAGCTGAAGCGGGATTCTTCCACGTTCTCCTTCGCTTCTGGGCTCCAGAATCGTTTCCACAAGCGGCAACTAGTAAGTCTCGCGCGTATAAGTTTGATCTGAATGCCACCTACTCTACTTGGCGTCGAATTGAAGCTGATCTTCCGCAATAGTTTCTTTGTTCTTATTCGCGTGCTTCGTCATCTTCCTTCTTCCCAACAAAGCCTTCGCCTGGTTTGAATATGTCACGTCCATAATTAAAATCTTTCTCTTCCTGATCATTATCATACTCTCACTTGCGTTGGTACTTGGAGCCGGGCCAAACGGTTATCTGCACCGAGGAGAAACCTGGACAAGCCTCCCGCCATTCCTCAACGGATTTACTGTAGGCACTGATATCAATTCTTGGCAATGAAATTGGATACAGCTAATATCTAAGTACGTGTGTACAGGGATTCGCGAATTGTGCCCTATTAGCAACATGGGCCGTTGGCGACCAAGTTTTCGTCGGCATCATGGGCGGCGAGGCCGATAGTCCTCGCTTCTCAATGGCCCATGCAACAAAGCTCGTCCCTTTCCGAGTCAACTTCATTTACATGCTTAGTGTCATATTCATCACAATTTTGGTACCCTCGGATGATGAAAGGCTGCTTGGTGGCAGTAGCGTTTCTGCATCTCCCTTTGTTATCGCTGTAGAGAGCTCTGGAATTCGTGGCATATCCTCGCTCCTGAATGCTGGGATGATGTGTGGAGTTCTAGCAATCGCCGCCGAATCAGTATACTTGTCTTCTAGAGTCCTGCGCTCTATGTCACATCAGAAACTCATCTCAGGTCGCCTGGCCAGAGTAGACGACAAGGGTCGACCGAGGCTGGCGCTGCTCGTGACGTGCATCGTTGCCGCTGTGCTGTCGTACATACAGCTGTCGGGTAAGTGTCATGAGACTGAAAGCAGAGTGTTTTGATTGCATATGCCGGCTAACAAATTTATAGGGGATGGTATCAAGGTCTTGAACTGGTTGGTTTCGATCACTAGTGCATCTTTCTTCACCAATTGGATCATCATTTCCTTCACCAATTGGCGATTCAGATGTGCCATCAAGGCACAAGGGGACCTTCTATTCTCCCAGACATATGCGTGGGAATCATCTGCATGGCCTTTGGCTCCTGCCTGGTTAATGATCGTTTCATTGATTCTACTGGCTTCGTGTCTAGCCTGCGGCATCAACCCTATCGTAAGTGATTTCGTATTCCGATGCACGATATCGTTGATTTCTTATCTCTTCTCACTTCTGTTCCGCGAAGAGGCTGACCAGTCTATCTTAGGGTGGCGGGGGGTTCACGGCGGAGAACTTTTTCCAATACACCATCGGACTCATTCTCATCCTCGGTGCAACGCTTGGATATAAGATCATTTACAGAACACCCTGGCGTGATCCGAATACAGCAGACTGCATCACTGGTCGGCGAGAGCTATCGACTGAGGAGATAAAGCAACTGGACGAATATTACAAGCAGCCGAAGATCAGAAGATTCTTCAGCTACGTACAGTTGTGGTAAGCCCATGGGCTAAAAAAAGCTGGCGATTGATAGCAGAGGAGCATCTATGCTAGATTGATCTAGGGGGTGGCGAAACAACCACCTTATTTTGAAGGTCAATCGTTTTGTGTATAAGGTCCCTTAGCCTCCGAACATAGCTAAACGAACTTGGTCATCTATATAGTTTACCCAAGTCAATAACTTATACGTGTGTTTTGACTATGATGCAACCAGTCATGTTGGAGCCACCTAGATAGCCAAAGTTGGGCGACTGAATGTACTCATTTGCTTAGTATACTTCATGCAGTAACAGAACCGAGATTCTACTTGCCGGCTTGATGTAAAGTCAGGCATGCCCGGCAAGCCGTCCGGTAAGTTTGCGTGGCACAGCGAAACTCAAAACAACCACAGTATCGCAAAGCTCTCTTTATTTCATTGTTTACGGCTTCGGGTTCGGGCACATGGTCACACAGTTGGGGGTTGAAGATGCCGCAGTACCAGATACTCGATATTGGTCGGCTTGGGTGCCAAAACCGCCAAGGTATCGTTGATTGGCGCCCAGCAATTGATGAGAAAATCGTGGAGACCTCCAGGTTGTTGGGTGTGGTAGGACTGCCGGTTTTCGGAAAGACTTACCACTCTCGTCGTGGGGGGTGTTGAAGTGGGTGGTGATTCTCGGGAAACGCATCCGATTTCCCATTGCAAGACTGTGGCGTCACTGCTTTGGTCTACGGACCCAGTTCCCGGTGGCTGTTTTGCCGACTCCTCCCCCGCACATTGCATCTGTTGCACGGTCGAGGCACGAAGCTTTCGTAATCGTGATAACATGCTATCATTGTCGATCGCGCTAGAGCTCAGTCAAAGCAAGGTACAAATATCATGATGGTCACAAACTTATCGAGCTGACTGACCCATTGATCACCCTATCGCCAACAACGTCTCCCTCACCAAGACAGTTCCTGTTCCTTACAATGGCATCATCTCCAATCTCCCCAGAGACATTTAAGGTTCCACCCACCCCTCATTCCCCAAATTCCAAATTCCCTGTCATTGTGTATAGAAACGCGCTGGAGAACAAAACAGTTGAAGGCGCTTTAGAGGCGATCAACACCTCGGAGTGGGTCAAAGGGGGTCACTGGAAGATCGCCAACGAAACACTCGCAGCTACCCCCCACTATCATTTGACGACACACGAGGCGTACACTGTCTTACATGGCAGCGGCACATATGTTCTTGGAAAATCTCCTTTGGACGCAGACACCGATGAGTTCGGCAACCCTGTGGGTGTCGAGTTTGTTGCTCGTGCTGGGGACGTCTTTGCATGGCCAGTAAGTTACTAAAAACCGGCAGAACCCGATCAGGGGCTGAGCTACTTATGCCAACTTCTTCAATCTAGGCAGGAGTGACACACTTTGTTAGGGAATCTGAGGATGACTATGAGATAATTGGGTTTTATGCTTTGGTAAGGTCTACTTAAACATCGCTTCATTCATACGTTATGTGCATAAGTCAGGAGCTGACAAGGTTTTGAGACGGGGTTCAACTCAAGGGAAGAACCTTATGATATGGAGTATGCATTGGATTCGGTTCAGGAAACAGACGAGAAACGGGGAAGGTGCGAGAAGGTCCCTGGTCCGATTAAGGATCCGTTATACGGAGAAGGAGGGCCGATGCCATCTCTGTGGAAGATGAATGATGCTTGATCTTTGCAAACGTATGTTGTGCGCAAGCAAGACACCCTAGGCAGAAAACGGTTCCAGGGAGTCTGAACAGTCATACTTTCAATTGAACAAACTGCACACCATTCCCGACTCATGGTAACTTTGTGTTGTGTTTCTGCTAAGCAATATTGAGATGTCACTTAGGTCTGATTGACTCGCGGCTGTCCACTAGCCTTCAGCTACGGGGAAATCCCAGCTCAAGCTCTCAGGATCCAGCGAGTTAGCGATATCGATCAGAAGGTCTGTGCTAAGCTCGGCCTCCATCGCCAGGCTTTGCTCAAACTCCAAACCTAGGGCCTGGTCTGTTGGGTATGATCCAACATCATTGGTAGAGGCAGTACGCTGTGTCCCATGAACTTGGCTTGGGACTTCTTCGTCTGCACTGAGATGGTGAAGATAATTATCAAGCTGCCTCAGTTCAGATAAGATCATTCCTGCGATCTTACTACCGTGAGAGCTCATTTCTTCGAGGATGAGGAACACCCGTTGAGACCACGCTGCTTTGTCGGGAAACAGAGTCGGCTCAATAGCTGCAGCCATAGACATGGCGACTGCAGCTGTTGATGTAGCATCCAGATCAAACGTTAGGAAGCTTTCTGTGATCCGTCGAATGAGCTACCACTCCTTGCAAAGAATAATTGAGCGACTTACCCAGTAAACCATGACTCAATAATCTCAATAAAATTTTGATTATCTGTCGCGAAGAATCCGTGCAAACCTGTAGTAAGCTTCTGATGCTATCGGAATGCAACCACTGCATCAGCACTGATTCAGATTGCCCGAGTTTGGACTGTAGGAATATGAATAATAGCGGCCTAGTGGTTAGAACGATGCACTTCGTACACGTTAAGTTAGCATTTCCTCTATACCGAAGTTTGATGTCTCCATACTTGGTGGTACTGGAGATGCAAATGTGCCGAGACACGGGAGACTCCTGATGTGTTCTCACTGGAGTCGATGTCAAACAAACCATGGAGGTCGGTAGCGAGGCCTGCTATACTTTGGAGAACAGCCTTTGTGGCACCCAAGTAGCGACTGTCGAGCTGTCCTTCAATGCCATAAACAGCTAGTGCAACTTGTTAGCCACCAGAGCGATGGTAGTAAGCTCAAGATGAGTACATGACTCTTCGCCTTACTCTGATGGATCTGCCCCAGTACCTGCGCCAACTTGATCTGTATGTGCAAAGCGCTGGTTCTTTGTGCTTGCTCGTAAAATATGGGGAACGGTGTGCAGACGCATTCATCCGAGATGAACATAGGCACTCCCATGAGTGCTGACATTTGACGCTCCAAGACATATATTGTCCACCATACTAGCCTGCACCTCTGAACATACGTCTCGTCTAGGTGGTGACTCTGCATCTCGGTATGTAGGCCATGTTCGAACGCTGTGCTAAGCGCCTGTCCAACCTGGAAGAGGTTTATCAGAAGCTGAGGCCAGAGAGAGAGGCATGGCTCACCAACATATCGATAAGCAGCGGGCCGACAACTTATGCAGTGAAGATACAGCGAGGTACAGCAAAGTACCTGCATCCTTTCTATGTAGTCACACTCGAAGAAGGTGAAGTCCGGCATAAGCTTCATAGCTTGCACAAACAGGTCTGCTCCAGGAGGTTGGTGTGACTTTGATGTCTGTACGATAAACGCCTTGCCGAATGCTAAGATAATGAGGTAGTGAACGAACCACAGCCGGGGGACTTTTGACTGATCCGCGGCACTTGCATGGAATGTGGCAAAGTGCTCCATGAAACTGTCCTCTTCAAACAGATAGAACAACCGGCAGCAGTGAAATTTGACGGAATTAATCAGATAGATTGCAAAATCCTGAGTCGGCAAACTGGCAAGGCTGAAATCGTCCCCTGAAGATGAGATTCGGCCTCCATCCCACCTCAAGTCGTAAACCTTTCCGTCAAAGAATAGGTTCTCTGGGGATAAAGCAGTGCCGGTGATTGCTTCATGGGTCATAGATAAGACCCGTCGGTTGAAAGCCCAATTGGAAGACGTTCCCATAAATACTGATTAGGCAAGCATCAACGTACTGCGCTGGAGGAAACTGGCGCCTCAGACGTACCGGGAGTACCACTAGGACCCGGAACCCAGTCAATTGTATGGAAAGCTAGTGGATTTGTGAGCGGTGCCTCGTTTGTGGGCACATGGACGCCAAGAGATGAAGCGAGTACAGTCGAAGATGAGGGCGTAATGGGGAAAATGTTTCCCACTGTGCGGTCCTGTGTTGAAAGATAACTCTCAGTGGCATCACCAGGGATTTCTACTATAGTATCTGTTAGTATCTGATCTTGAGCGTAGATATTGAATGAACAGCCTGCTCTGACGCGTTTTGTTGTTTGCTTGTTGATCCAATGGCGGGTCTTGTGAGACCATCAAAGATGCTCGCCGCTCGGATGCGGCCAGCTTTTCTTGCAAGTCGCTGATATACCTAGAGCCATTTCGTGAGTGAACCGAGTAGTTTGATATCAGAAGTAAGTCGACCAGACTGAAGTTTTACCTCCTGGTGACCACGACCTTTTGCGACTCGTCAGGAAAGACGCATTCCTGCTCTCTCTTGCTGCATTGTTGACAGGGGTCTGAGCCCGAGCATTTAATCTTTTGATCGCGGCATCTTGTGCAGCTTCGCAGCCGAAAAATCGTCAATAAATATGACCGGTCAAGTCCTGTTGACAGGAGCAGCCATGGTGACTTACGCTTTCGATGTGCGCCTTTTCGATGCACGGTTTTTCCCAACACCGCTCCTTGCTGACATTGCCACGCTCGATTTGTTTTGGCTTTGGCAGCCGTATGAACAACACTGCGTAGGAGAGCTACTTGAAGTTTGTGCAAGAACAATACGAAGACGATGATATGATGACTCGAAGATGATAGATGCGATAAATGGACGGCTTTGTGGGTGGGGTTTCTTTATCTCGGAGGATAACGTCCCCACTTGACATGTATCCGACTATGCGTCCCCACAGCATCCCCCCGGCAGGATGCGAACCCCGCCCTCGGGACTGAGCCCGGCGTTGAGCGATGTGCGGAAAGTATCCCCGGGTCCGTGCTAAATCTCAACTAAGAACGATAGCACGAAGATACATCACAGGTAGCATGAGGTAGGCGCCGCGATAGGAGATTTGGTCGAGTGTGATGTGGAGACCTTCTCGGTGATATCGCCCGCTTGCGAGTCTCGTACCCCGGGCCACTACTAGAAGCGCCAGATTATTCGACTTTTCCCGTGCCGTAGGCATAGCTTGTTGATCACTAGAATCTCAACCAGAACTACGTGGACAACTCAACATGTGCGATTTGGACTACGACTGTCTTTATGAAGCCTCACAAAACTATTGGCGGGTTTCCGTTGACCTGATGCAAGCTTTTAGCAATCAGGTCCATGCAGATCCGATGTAATCTGAGCCAGATCAGTTGTCTTGCAGGTATCTTTCCGATCGAGTCGTTGCTCTAGTCATGATTCATCAAACCTCAGTTGTTAAATTTCACGGCCTTATCATTATGTAGCGATGGAAAAAAATGAACATGAGCCAAATTGATTTAAACTGCTATTTTGAAAACCGGCCTTCAGGTATGATTGTAATGTCAATTGATACAGGTCACTTCCCAGAACAGACTCAACTTATACGGGCTAGCCTCATTGTATTCAAAGTGAACGATGAAAAGCAGAGATATCAACCGGTTACTGTTCTAAGGCCCAAGCCTCAATAAGCAATCCCTACGTTAAGTCTGATTCAAAGTCTGGTTCAAGTCCTACTTCGAGTCTGCGTTACCACTTGGGTTTCCCAAATCAACCCATAGCCGGCATGATGGTGTCGAAAGTATACCAAGGTAGGAACGACATGAATACCAAGGTCAAAAAGACGAAAGAGGTTTGCCGTGAAGGTCTTTGTGTTTGGAGCTCGTGGACTTGAAAGTGGCGGCCTAATAATTAATGTTAGATTACCTTGAATACAACCAGAATCTGAACCGAAGCTTACTATCAAGTTGCATCGTAGCAGGTACGGACAAATGCCTACTTGGGGCAACCGATACCCAGACCAGTATCAAAGGTGCAGCAGTCCGCGCCACAGGTATTCGAGTGGGATTCAGGGCAGATTGTGCCTTGCGGGAAGTTAATATAACCGCCTTGCCTGACTCTTGCGTCGTTATCGCGATAACAGCAGTTCTCGACAGTCTTCTTATTCCAGTTGCAGTACGCTGAAGCTTCGCCAAAGAAGCCAAAAGCAGCAATGGCGACCGTGAAAATGGTTGAGGAATGCATAGTAAGGTTAACGGAATTGGAATTATGCCGTTGAGAAGAGAGAAGTAAAAGAAAGACTTTTGTAAAAGTGAGAACGAAAGTGAAGACAGAAGTGATGATTGTCAATGAAGGTTGTGGCGATGATGGAGATGATTATCTATGGGTAGTTGTGTGTTCTTATATTTGTTATAATCATGACTCTGGGAGAGACGCAAGTGGGTGCTTCACAGGAATTCAGTCGGGCAAATTTAGCAATAATCTGCCCTAGGTGGAATGGGAAGGGTAAACTTTGTTATTTCGGGAAAGTTTGACATGTATCATCGAAGTTTATGGTCCACAAAGTTCTAGGCTCAATGAAGGAGTATAGACAACATGCGAGCTGTGTTGAGCAGAGCCCTTTCGCTACATCCTACCTTCAGTTCTCCATACTGACGCCAAGGTTTCATGTCCCACGATATTTATAGTATGTATTTCCAGACCACTGGGCTAAAGTTGAGGCCTCGAGTCAGGTCCCTATTTTCTTCATAGCCCTACTTTGTCATCCCTCTTCCCCTCCAACCTCCTCCTCCTGACCAAACTTCAACTCTTCACAGCTGTAAAGGGCCCGCACAACTTGACTCCAGCTGACTCAAGGTATTGCTTTCTGTTGTTGCGAAGGACGTTCAGAATTTCTGGTTCATCGCATTGGTGCTTGAATCGGTGTCTGTTGGAAGCTCGAAAGTAAGCTATCCCACCGGGTATACAATTTCTACCCTGCTAAGGTGCCGGCCCGGTGAATTACATGGGTCAACTAGGGTGTAGGCGTGTTAGGGACGTGCCATGGGCATGGGTAGAGCACATGCTTTTTCTCCCGGGCATTTAGCCTCTAACATTGCCAAGATCATTTCGTCGTACGGAGCATCCGTAGGCCAGATGACCTGCGGCCTTTTTTTCACCGGAAGAGAAGGCAAGCAGCACTATAGAGGAATCGGGGCACGAAAGGTATTGCTCAGAGTCTCAATGAAAAAATGATAAACTGCTAGTAGGTGGTTAAGTTTAACGGGGACCGGAGAAAGTGTTGCTTTGAGCCTTGACAGCAGGTATTGCTAATGCTTCTTGGTCCGAAGACTCATTTTTATAACCTCGAGCATTCTATTGTGGTTAGTTGTTTGACCGCCTCTCGTGGTTACTACATGAAGTGGTCATTTTCTGAGAAGGGCAGGGAGGTTTGTCTCGGGTTCTGCTGTCTAATTCATGGACATGAGCTTGTGATCTCGCTCCTCAGGGCTCATTTGATGTGAGAGATGAGTTTAAATAGTATTGTCGTTACATGTGACCTCACAAGGCAGAGCTTGGCTCTAATCGTAGAGCTAGCGAATGATTGATACCCTGTGTCTGATTCCTGCTCCCTGTACCCCCTTTTTCTTTAAGTCTCCAAATACGGTGGCCGAGTTCGGGCTGCTTCTAACCTTCCATATGCCCACTATAATCGAAGGATTTGGTGTCGTATAGGCGGGTGTGCGGATGTTAGCAGGAGGTGTGGTGGGAGTTATATCTTCCTAGGCAGAAAAAACTTGAACAGGGCAACGCCAAGGTCCATCTACAGATTGACAGGAACATCTAGAGATAGCTGCCGGATTGGTACCTGCTATAATACCAGAGCAAAATATATCGCAATTAAATAAGATACTAAAGATTTGGCTTGGGTTAGAACACATTACAAACAGCTGTGCTAGTGTAGGGCCTGATTACCCACGCCTCCCGTTTGCGACATATGGAGATTGGTCGCAGCACTAGAAAGCATGGCAAACGTCTATGGGATGCCTGATAACGAGGTCCCATCGATGATGTGACTGCTATCCGCTGTGCATAGCCATACCGGCGCCTTCAAGCCTAAGTAACTCATGTAGCATGATATGAGTGACACGCCCGTATCTTATTTCAGAAGTGCGGTGGTGCAGAAGCACCAGTCAGCCCGCATTGCCCCTCGGAGCCACCGAGACTGGGCACGGGATTTTGCCCGTGCTTTCAAGTGGACCACTAATGGCCAGAGCCAGAAGGTTCGTCTTCAGTATGTGTCGACGGGGTTCGCCGTTGCTTGGACGCTGTACCGCTAGTCCATCAGGCTGACTCTCGGGTCGCACCAAGGATCTGGCGTCAGGATAGACGTGAATCGCTGGCGTACTAGTCGCGGTGCGTAGGGGCTTCGGACCCGGCACGTCGCACGATCGCTAGAGACGCATGTTGGCTAGCTTCAATTGTGATTTTGGACGGCCTACTAATCGTATGATCCGAGAAGACACGATGCGCTGCACTTATTCAATATTCAACATTCTCAATGCTTGCCAAACTACCTTAATCTACGCATTCATGAACCATTAGCTCCTCCTCGCTTACACCAAATGCTAGAGGCCCGTCATCGATTACGGTGGCTCGACGCACATCACGCGCAGTCATCTCGGCGTTGTAGGGGTTCGCGCGATGCATGGATTTTCTGTTAATTGTTCAGTGTAAGCATACTGTGCCATCTCGGTTGTTCTAGGAATGAAACAATAGTACAGGGCAGAGGGACAACACACTCACCGATTATCCCACCACACCATATCACCACCTTCCAACCACTCCATACTGAAAACATACTAGTAGGGGTCAGCATTTTCGATCCATTGAGGCTAATTTAAGCTTCATCGGTGTCCTTCAGGATTACCTTGGACTGTGTGCAGTGATTGATGAGCTCCCAAATCAACTTCTGACTCTCTTCAAAGCCGCGCCCTACGACGAGCTTGGCGTGCGCGGCCAGATACAGCGTCTTTCTCCCATCCGGGCCAACCTGAACGAGTCGGTGATACGCCGACTTTTCAGCGGCCCGCTCATTTTCTAGGGGCTGTGCAAAGGCCTGTGGAGAGGCAAGACGGCGTGAGTGCCACAAATCATGCTCAATGATCAGATCCTCCAACTCGTCTTTCTTGGATTCTGGGAGATCTGCATATGCTCGCGCCATGTCGGCAAAATGCGTCCACGAGCCGCCTCTGGCTGGGCTGCCGTGGGATAAAAGCAGCGAGTACTTCGAGCGGTGCTGGTGAAATGAAGAGTCCTGTTTTTGTGAGTTGTGTGACGAGGCCATGTGACAATGTCTGGACTGACTGTATGCCACAAAGCATTGCCTAAGCTATGATCCCAACGTCTCTGATTAGGCTGTACAATGGTTCCATCGAGATTGATACTGCACAATAGTCAGCCATCTGTTTATAGAACATTGTCTAGTCTAGCTTCATCATACTTGCTGACGTCCCACAATAGCGGATCACCTATGCGGTCGTTCTCAATGCCGTAGAAGAAGGGGTTGATCTCAAGCTCCTGGCCCAATCTCTTAGCAAAGTCTATGTGTCCTTTGTTGTCCAATCCAGTCTTGCGGAAGATCAGGACGCCGTAATTATCTATAACCCTTTTGAGCTGTTCAGAATATCAAAAGGTCAGCAAAGCCCGGTTGTTTCAATTAGAAGCGCTCACCTTTTCGATGTCATCGGCAGGAAGTGGACGGGACCAATCGATTCCATCAATGTTTGCACCAAATGATGATTTCCCATCATGTAATACGGGAGTGATGAGAATGTGCCCGTCCTGAATCGGCTGGTGGTTGCCACCGCGGCTCTCGGCACTTGGTTGTTTGGAAGGTGGGAACGTGTTCGGATACGTCCGCGGGAGGCTCTGGATCATCTTAATGGCCGACATGATGGCGCTAGGGTAGCTCACTGCGTATCTCTAGACATAAAGTTATCAGATGCAGTGAGCTTCATCGCTAGAACTCTGGTGATTATATCTCACACACGAGTCTCCACTTAGCCGGCGGCTCGGTTGCCGACCAGACCGATGATGCAGAGGCCGACCGAACCGATAGGGCCTAAGCCTGCATCGAACAGACACACAAAGTCCGCGTACTGCTTGAACCTTTGAGTACTGCTTCATTACAATTCTGTCAGTGAACTTTGAGCCACGCTACTCAAACTACCGTCGCAACATGACATCTCAGGACAAAATTCTTATTACAGCTGGACCGTACCAGTTCCTGGCCGCCTTTGAGCCGGCGGCTCCTAAGACGGTATCGGTGTTTCGAAAACTACTACCGTACCGGCAACAAGTCATTCACGTCCGTTGGAGCGGCGAAGCGGTTTGGGTGCCGCTAGGGGATCAGGATCTTGGCCTGACGTTTGAGAACCACACGAGCCACCCCAGTGCCGGCCAGATTCTTTTCTACCCCGGAGGCTATTCTGAGACGGAGCTTCTCTTCTGCTACGGCGGTGTATCGTTCGCGAGCAAGATGGGTGCCTTATCTGCAAATCACTTCTTGACAATTACCGAAGGTGGTGAGAATCTTAGACCGTTGGGCCAGCTAGTCCTTTGGCAAGGCGCACAAGACGTTCTTTTCGAGCTAGCAGACGAGGAAAGGTTCGTTATCCTTGAAGTTAACCGATAGCGTTGAACTGACATATTCTACCCAGAATTGCCACATTCAGGAGGGAACGACTGAACGGCCAGAAAAATTCAAAAACCTCCAAGTTGTAGAGATTGAGGATTCACGTATAGTGGATGTCATTCGGGATTGTGCATATTAGATTTCTACATTACGCGAAAAGATGGCCGAGATTCTATAGGGTGCTGAATTAGACATATAGTCCGGTTCCTTGTTCTATCAAGAAGGCACCTTGCAGAGTCTTTTGGACAGATAAAATTTATCACGAATACAGTTGAAGTGTGCCTAGCCATTCATGTTCACAAGGTTTTTTACCCCTGTTTCAACGGTAGCAGACTAACGACAAGTTGCTACGTCGACTATTACCGGCGTTATGGACGCGATCCATTGGGTGCAGCCTGAGAGCATTATTCACCCGAGTCAGGGTGAAGTCCCAAGACTAGATGTGTACCTTGTCCTGTCAAACAGTCGTACTGGCTATATTCGAAATGGAGCTTCTAAATTCCAAATGACGGAAGGGAATCTAACTTGATAAGCACTGCCGGTTGATAAGGCCTATCGGCCCCGTCGGCCCCGTCGGCAAGCGGGCCGATTGATTAGATACCGAGCCCCACCCTTCACGCAAAGAGTGCCTAACCTCATTATCTATGTATGATGGCCCAGCTTGACTCGGCCCAACGTCAAAGGTCTATTAATTATTGCCAAAACGTATTGTTCGATAAACAACACCATTAGAACTACGTCCTTGTTCTACACCCAGACGATCACAATGGGCCTGATACTGAATCCTGGGGCTTATGGACCCTTACCGACCTTCTTCAATGAAAAGCAAGAAATCGACTACGAATCGTATGAGAAGCATCTACTCAGTTAGCCATCATGACCACCCCGAGTACAAGTTCTGACTAACCCGCAACTACGCAAGATCTTGCTAGAAGAGGAATCAGTAGGTTATCAATAACACCCTGTCAATCCACTAGATAAAGTACCCAACATTGACTCATCTAGATCCTGTGTGCGCGGGGTCGCTTGGCGAAGCAGTACATTTGGTATGCATAGAGACTCTCGATGATACTTCATCCCAGGGTACAATTCTCTAATCATCAAGATGCATAGTCTCCAGAGGAAAGAGTGGATCTCATCAAATTCATACGACGCACACTCGACGATGCTGGCTTGACGGACATGCCCATTGTGGCAGGTGTGGGCGGTTCAAGTACCAGAGAGACAGTTAAACTCGCACATGCGGCTGGCAATGCCGGGGCGTATGTACTGCGCATCGATTGCTTATTTCCCCCGTATTTCTCTGCTAAGATGTGCACCCGACAGAGATGCAGGTCTAGTCATCCTTCCTGCTTATTACGCTGCCAGCTTGAGCACCGACCAGGACCAGATCATTCAATATTACGTCGATATCTGCAAGCAATCGCCTGTGGGTGCCTCTGAACCTGAATGATTCAAATCCTTGGGTAAGATTCCCTGACACTGCCAGATTCCACTCTTTCTGTACAACTTCCCAGCGAATGCGGGAGGATTGGATATGTCATCGGCTGTAATCGAGGCTGTGATACGCCAGGCACCTAACTTGTGCGGCGTCAAACTCACGTACGTGATAATGTGGTACCCATGTTTTCTTGTGGCCTCTAACATACTTATTATCGTCTCGGGTAGCTGTGGCGGTAGTGTTTCGAAGCTGGTCCGCCTCTCATCCTTTATCACTAACGAGCCGTCGGTCAATACATGCCGGCCATATCCATTCCTTCTCTTGGATGGGCTGATCTCTGATCTGACACCGTGGATGAAAAGTGGCGGCCATGGCACCGTCAGCGGCATACCCAACTTTGCCCCGGCTGCTTCTATGCGGCTGTGGTCACTCCTAAGCAAGCCCAATCCGACAGAAGATGAAAGACAAGAAGCAGATAGGATTCAATCCATTCTGTCTAATGCTGATGTGGCAGCTGTGCCTGCAGGTGTAAGGGGAATGAGTAAGTTGTCACTTTTGAGTTCAAAGTGAAGATGAATTGTGTTACTCTTGCTGACACTAGCCTGTGAAGAATATGTTTTACACAAGTTACATGGGTATGGGATAGACCCCAGACGGCCCTTGTTGAGACTGGGAGAACGTGAAGGAGAAATGTTGATGTCAGAATTTGAAGAAATGATCCAATTAGAGGCAGAGTACTCCAAGACAGCATAGCCTATAGATTTAGAGATTGATGGCATGGCAAAAAAGCTTTGTGAACCAATACTACACCATGTTCCTTAGTTTCTTCAATCTAAGCTGAGGCCACTGACAGATGCTTGAATCTCCATAGTGCGTGTGGGTAGTTTTCACTGATAAAACAATGTGAATATGAATTTTCTGACTTGCTCAAAACCTCAAGTGTTGTCACATCACTGCTTGGATCAGTCATGTTATTGAGCATTGTTATTAAGCTTGACATTACCAACAAGACATCATGAAACTAGTGCTGATGTGGGACACCATCATCACGAGCTGAAAGGTGTATGGTGACATGAGTTGAAAAGATTAACATTGGATTTGATTAATTTGCTATTTGAACAATATATCAGTGCTCAACTAATCGCTGCGACCCGAAAACAGAAATTCTCCAAGTGGGTGGCATCTTCTATCATGCCCGTCTACTACATCCAGACTTCCCACACTACGCGTGTTATCCCAGTCCACTAATACCAGATTCCGATTTACAAAACGTATCTAAAGTACGGCGAGTATTCACCCATCTCGGCTAGTTGTTTCTCGGTGTACTTTCCTTCTATTTCTGCAAGGGGTATACGATCCTTTCGAAGGTTGGCGCGGCGGAGTAAATACCAGTTTGTGATACAGGCGCCATAGCCACCTACAGCAACGAGAACGATGATGGTGATAAAGCCGGAGCGATAGGTAGGGGCTTCGTTGCCAACAAAGATATTTACGCCGATGCAGCCCCCAGCTAGCTGGCCCCAAGTCGACATCCAACCCATTGCGGCGGCTCGCTTGGCCGGGTTACGCACGTTGGTGCCCAGCCACGAGCCAACGGCAGGGCCTTGCATGTTATAGCCAGCGATAACGAGGAAGAGAGCAAAGTAACTGAGCCCTGAGAGGTTGGGGTAGTAGAGGGAAGGCCACAGAATGATAATACCGATGGTGCCAACCGTGTAGCTGATGATCAAAGACCGCGCCCGGCACTGGTACCGATCAGAGTAGAATGCAATGGCGATAACGCAGAAGAATGCAAAAACATATGGCGGAGACGTTAATGCCTGGGCTTGAACGGAGGAGTAGCCCAAACTCTTTACCATCTGTTACAGTAGAATGTTAGCAGCGGGCCTTTGCCAATACCACTCCCTGGAAAATTTACCGTTGCTAAGGTGTAGTTGACCGAGTATGTGGGTACAGAGCCACCAAATGCGAGAAGTGAAGCAACAAGGTAGGTTTTCCAGTCCTTGACGGCCTCGAAGAAGACACTCCAACGGAATGTCATGTCGGGAGGCACAGGACCATCACGGTACTTGACGCGAAGTTTGAGATACTTCATCTCATCCTCGCTGAACCATCTGGAGCTCCATTTCTCGGGAAAGTCTACGCATAGCAGAAGACCGAGGCAACCAACCACGATGGTGATACACCCTGGACGAAGGATTGGTCAATATCAATAACACGGATGATGGAAGGCGGAGCAGGAGAGATGATGCATACCCTCGATGATGAACAACCACTGCCACTGCCTCAGGCCATGATGGTCCTGGAGGGGGCCAACAGCGTATGCAAGCAGGCCACCAAAGGCACCGGACAGCAGAGTCGCCGAGTACCACCATGCACAACGTGATTGCAGCTCGTTGGGTAGGTACCAGCAACTGATTGTGTAAAAGCAGCCTTGATACATACCCGCCTCGAACAATCCGAGCAATACGCGGCAGACAACAAAATCGTGGTAACTCTTGACCCAGGCACCGCCAAGAGTCACACAACCCCAGCAGATGACGAGTGACGATAGCCAGAAACGGGGACCAACACGACGCAGCATCATGCTGTTATTTGTTATGAAGGTCAGCAATGCCGAAGAGAGGATATAGAGGTAAGTGGTCCTTAGTATGACCTGATGGAAAGTGACTCACTTGGATGGTGCTTCGAACATGGCGTACATGATGATAAACCACGTCAGGGCTAGGTTGAACTGCGTGTTGGTCATGTTCGTGTCTTTCATGAAGGTGTAGATCTTCACGTTGCCAGCATTGGTTCGATCAATCGAGTTCAATAGGTAGTACATGAACAAGAAAGGCAGGATCCGGGCATCGAGGCGCATGATCATGCTCCGGTGTGCCTTGGGGTTGGCTGTGAAGTGATCCTTCAGGCGGAGGTATTCGACATATTCGGCGGCGTGGACGGCATCTACTACACCGGGGGCCGGAACCTCGATGGTGGTGCCCACCTGCATCTCAAAGTTCTTGCTGTCGTCCATTGGGCTCTTAGATGCGGCCTTGGGCGTCTCGGCGGACGAGATCGACGTTGAGGGCATGTTGCAAGGGAGCTGGACACTGTTCCTTGGTGAACCCTTTGAATAATCACCAGAAATCTGCATCATCATCCGTACCAGCCCCGTGGTTCAAGTACTTCGGGCTTCCGCACGACCTCGGGAACATTGAGGTGTCACTATCGCTGTTATCAGTGTCGGCTTTGTCGGCACGGGCCCGATGCCGGCGATAAGAACCTCAAGTCTATTAGCGCCGTTGCCGGCTTTCTCTTTGAGTAATAAGAGCACCCGACAACGGAATTGTGGGTGAGGGACATCGTCAGGAAATCATGGATCACGGTCGGTTGCTTGCCGACTTCGACGACGACGAGGTCCCGCCGGAAGAGGCGATCGAGACCGATGCCGACAGGAGCGCTGGGGGACCACGCCCGGCAAAGATTCATCGGGCTTCCAAAGGTATCGTAACCATCTCCCCCAGTGCCATCTCCTGCTACTGTCCTGGTGCTGCATGGCGCGCTGACCAGCTTATCTCGCGTAGCTTGTATCCAATGTCGCGGTCGTAAACAGAAGTGCTCGGGACCTGGCGGTGGCAGCAGCGCCGGCCTCTCGGCATCGGCACCGGAAGACCAAGCTCGACGACCCTGTCGGCGATGCGCACAGTCGGCCGTTCAGTGCTCTTTCACCACCGCCACCAATGATCAGGGATTCGATGATGCAGATGCTGCCAGCCGAAACGCCCGCAAGCTTGATCGGATGCAGAAGCAGATTAATGAGCAGAACGATCGTATCAACCAACTGGAGACCACCGTGCGCAATCTCAGTACTGCCACAACTATCGTCGCACAGGGGGGCAAATCACCAGGTTCGTGCAAAAGTGGGACAGATGTCACGAACCCTCATCTGCCGCAAACGATGGTCGGCACTCGTAGATCGTATGACGAGGTCAACGAATTAGCAGCATCTCCAATTGCAAAGCGGACAAAGATTCGCAAGGATGGAGTCCTTGCCAGCGGGCCCGCGATGTTCCAGGAGGCTGGTCTGGGTCGCCGAATCGATGCTCAGGGTGTTGTTGACTTTGGAACACCTATGTCGATGCTCCGTCACTTGCGCCAAGATATTAGTGATATGAGCATGGAGAATGAGGCACTGGATCCGATAATGTGTGGAGTTATGACAATGGCGCAGGCCCAAGAAAGCTTCAACACTTTCTTTGAACAATGCCACAGATGGGCTCCGGTACTCTGCCCACAAACCCAGACCTCGGCCGCCGGCATTCGGCGAGCCTGCCCGACGCTGTTTATATCCGTATGCTGTATAGGATATCGCTTCGCCAGCGCGTCTACTCCCGAGGCTCACCGTCGATACATGGCTCTCGTCTCGCTTCTTGACCACTCTCTGAGCCGTCTCCTCCTGAGGCCGAATTTGGCCGACGTCAATCTGGACCATATCCGCGCAATACTTTTGTACATACAGTGGATGCCCATTGACAACATTAGCAGCTCAACGCGGTCAACCAGGTATAATGCCATCTCGGCATGGAGCATGCTGGGCCTGGCTATCCGCTATGCCCTTTTTCTAGGGCTTCATCAGAATGCTGTACTCCCTTTCAACTCAAATGATGGCGCAACGCCAACACTGGAGGATGTTGGTCGATTGCGTGTCTGGATCAATTTGCTCACCTGCGATGCCGCCTTGACACTTTCAAGCGGCCTCCCGGCGACACTAAACCCAGATCCAGTGGTGGCCGTTGCTGACCGATTCAGGTCACACCGCAGTGCAAGTCATCCTGACGACACGAGGAGTTCGGCGACATGCGAACTTGTCTCCATTCTCAAACGAGCCGTACGGCGCAGTGGAAGCCCCAATGCGCGCTCCTTAGATGCCGCCTGTTTGCAACAGGTGAATCTGGAACTTGATACATGGGAGGCAGGCTGGAACTCTGTCATTGGCGATCAGATACATCACTACCAAATGCCTTTCACAACTTTGCGGTCCTATCGTCTTTCTATCAACAGCGCCTGTCTCTCGCCGCTGTTGCGGGCGTCAGCAGGCCCTGGTCGCATATCCATCTACGTGCTCCAGGCTCTGGAAGTTAGTTTACACACGGCCGCCCTTACCATTTTCGCTCTGTCTGAGCAATCTACGCACCAGACGTGGGGGAGCTACAAGACGATCGAAGCACTGCCCGAGGGTAGCTACACACCCGACTTGGAAGCCATCAACCGCATTAAATATTCAGTGGATTCGACATGGATCTCGTACAGCTTTGCGACCATGTTTCTTGTCTTGTGTTACAAAAACGGCATTGTCGACGAAGACTTGAGAATTTTGGCCCTTTGCTACAACAATGCTGAAATGGTTACATTTCCCCAGCGCCAGACAACTTCCTCCCTCCTCTTCCGGTTGATCTCTTTGGCGGTGCAGATATTTGATCTCGCAAGCGCAGATCTGCTGGCTCATCTCGCATTGGATCAAAAGTCTCTCTTGTCTGGTGTATTTGCTGTTGTTCTCGGCGACTTGACCGCGGAAAACGAGATCCATTCTGAGACACCAGCACCAGCTCCTTATTCCGATCGAGAGGTGGAAGCGCTCTTTGATTCAATGGTGAATGGTATGGACTTGGGTTGGTGTGTCGATTAAAGGTCATGTGGGGGCTCGTGTGCTAGCCATTCATTCGGTGCTTCCACACGGCTTCTGGATAACACAGGAATCATAGAAACCGGTTGGTTGCAGCACGCGCTGGGTACTTTTGTGTTTCTGCTCGCGTCATATCATTGATCACAAGGAATGGATTGATTATTTGTAGCCATATAGCAAAGGAAAAAGATCTGTTGGAGATGTATGTGCAGGATATTGCGTGTCGAATCTCACACGTCAAGCCTCATGTAAACCGCGAATATTGCGCCCCAATCGCTGAATATGCCTAGATCAGGCCAGCGAAACAGGTGAATTTATATCACAAACTGACTTTCCTAGTGACGAGAGATTGCCTTGTGACAAGTTCTGCAAAACTTTAGAGACTTCACGGCAAGAGTCAACTATCAACCCATTCAGCTTTCCGTCGTTCATCTGTGCCTCAATGACCTTCTAAAAGATAGGAACTTCTTTCCCCCTCCGGATAATTACTTCGAGATCTGGTCTTTAGTTTGTTTTATAAGACCTCCCTAATCTTGAATAAGGCCTTTGCCACTCAGGTAGCCAGGGGTGCAGCTAGGAATCGATGCAAACTCACGAGCCTAGCTCTCGACCACTGCCGACCAGTAATTCTTAGCCTTCTTTTCGACCTCAATATTGATGCTTTTCACATCTCCAACTCGTTCAAAGACCGCTTTTGATATATGCGCAACTAAGCTGGTCAAAAGACTTTGGAAGCTGTTGGCAATCCGTCCCACCAAGCCGCCGCTTCCTGACGCGAGGAAGGGGTTGGGAAAGTTGCTTGACGTGGCACTTTAAAGGTTGCCATATTATGAACTATCTCATATATCTCTCATCAATTGACCGCCAGGATCGTCTAGTGAAGAAAAGCCGATAAAGTACAGGAGTCAACGAGCCCAACCATGTAGCCCTTGGTGAGTATAATAACATCAAGCTCGCAATCTTCGCCGTCGGCCATTACGCCACGAAGAATATACGCTTCAACTCTACTACCATTGCTTAACGAAAAGAGATATCTCTAGTCTACTTGTTTATCATTTCATTCTATGCACTACGTGCGTAAAAAGGCTCACCCTGTATAAGTGTACCTCTATATGTGATTTCCCTTTAATAGTGTATACTAGCATATACATACCTCGATAAGTCGAAAGTGTATTAGGACCCTGTAATACACGTAGAGCTTCCGCTGTGAAAGGCATCCCTATGGGCTACACGTCCAGCCGCACCACCAGCCACCTGTCAGTTGTGTGGCGCAACACCTGGGCGGAATCTCTACTTAGTCTATTAAACAAATAGGATGAGGTGTTGGAATCTGGAATTGTTATTCATCATTTCCAATATAAGGGCAAAGAAGGCCTGCTTAATATATAATATGCGATAACATCGTTAAAATGACGCTCTTTAATTGCGAGCAGGAATCAACGCCATGTGTACCCTACAATAGATTATGTTGTCATGTTCACCGTCCTCAATGACCTATCCTCTACTAGAGATCCATTGTACCAGAAAAATGGGTCTATAACTAGTGCCTCCAAACTTTGACATCAGACTTGTATTGGAAGATTTTAGCTGGTCTGTAATTCGCGACCCAGCAATGATCTGCTGCTTGCCAGATGTTGAGTCGTTGATCGGGATCCTCGCAGAGAAGCGCCTTAAGAAACTTGACAACGTTTCTATTCACTCCAAGCCGCCAGGACCCAATTGCATGGAGCCTATCAAGTTTTGATCTAAGATCAACCTGAGTTTCAGCAAGCGAGGTAACGAGCGGCTTCCCTGTAAGCATTCTGTGAAGAACACAGCCAAGAGACCAGATGTCTGCTTTTGTTGAGATAGCCAGCTCAGATGAGTAGGCTTCGTTCGCTATCTCGGGTGCCGTGTAACCCCAGGTTTCTATCGCTATACTCCCGGGGTCGTGCCCACCGACGGAACGCTTTGAAATTCCGAAGTCGCCAATTTTAATATCTCCCAGTTCATTCAAGAATATATTCTGTGTCAGACAACTTTGATTAACTTAGGGTGCTCATAGATACATCGATGTGCATTGTTTTAGTGGAAGTCTTGCCTTAGGTCTTAGATCCCGATGAACAATTCCTATGTTATGTAGGGCCTCTAGGCCGGTGATTATTTGCTTTATCGGCTCTTGAATAGGCGTTGAGGGTCGTCTGTCTTTCCATGAGGCTGTCTTCAAATTATCTCCATGGAGGTAGGTCTCGAGATCGGATGCCATGAGCTCCATTGTTAGAAAGAAGTGCCCATCCCAAAAAGTCCAACCGTAGAAAGCTACAAGATGATCCTGAATACGGTGAGCTCAGTTGACTTAGGTACGTGCTTGTGCGGTCAATGCATCTATGCCTTTAGCCTAACTTCCGTAATGTTGATAGCAACGTGATTTCGTTGAGAGTCTCGAGGTAACGGACGCTCGAATTCATTCCCGACACAAGTTTAACGGCAACTGCAATTTTCCGCGCGTTCTTTTGCAGTTTGCCTTGAAGGACTACTTCACAACCCCCTCCGTGGCCCAGTAAGCTTCGTCTGTCTAATGACAGGCAGCCGTCCTGTAATCGCTCGGCTACACGAAGTCAGCACTGAGCCTTCGACCATTCATGTCTTCTAACTGCGCCTGTCTAGTCTAGTAATTACCTCACCAACCTTGCATATACTTCGATGAAATAGCGACAAAGGCCACCTTATCGACCTCGGCAGTCGTCACCTGACCACCATCGTTGCAAAGTCGATTCATTGTCTCCCTGAGTCTGTCGCAAAGCTCCAAATACACGTCCTTCGTTTGATCTTCAGCTTCGGGATAGAACCACTCGAAGAGCTCATGGGAGAAGAATGGTACTTCAGCAGGGAAGGCCGACGCGAGCATCAGCGTCGCCATCTTGATTCCGACTCCCACCATCGACTCAAGGTAGGCAATGGCGTGTAGGATGTCCTTGTATGTAGAATATTCTCTAAAAGCTTCCATAGTTGCCTCGAAGACATCGTTCTCCTGATTTGAGTTGACAAGTTCAAGATTACGCCTTTGCTGCACCTTCGACCGTCTCGAATCACGCTTACTGTAACCGAGAATAATTGAGTCCCGTTTCGAGTGTTCAAGAGGGATAAAACTTACTACATCCATTCCGCAAGTTCGACCACCTCACCTTTCTTAAGGAACTGATTCCTTCTAGATTTGCAGACCGCCGGTATGGTCTCAAAACGAGCCAAATCCAGCTCCTTGACCCAGGCGCCTACATGTTGGGGATAAAGTTCAAGCAGGTCGCGGAAATGATTGAGAGTAATGTTCTCTGGTGTTGCAACATCACTTAACACACTTAGGCAGTGCCTTAATCTGTCCGTCGGCCAAACGTAGGAAGTGTCTGGTCTCAAATTGATGAGTCCCATCGAAAAGCCATTCCTTCGAGTCTCAGTAAGATAATACAATGCGTCCGTAATAATTCGTTTCTCAAGTCTTCAAACTGTCTTTTGGGGTTAGGCCAGGCACTGAGTCCCGGCTTCAAAGGCCTGACGTACGGAAGCATTACACTGCAGCGAAACTCTCGGAAATAAGAAGAGGAAAACATGCAGCTACATATAAACGAGCAACTAGTCTTATGCGCAGTTATAAGATGATATTGCTAGCGGGTTGCAACCTAAGCTATCACCTGAGGCTGTGACCTCCCCTGAGCATGAAATGCCTGCATATAATCAGAGTGCATGAGACATGCATTTTACATCGCATTATTTTCGGTGAGTCCTAGTCCATATATTGGCGGCAAATCATGGAGGTACTTGGAGTACCTAGATGAAGTCAATTCTTGGCAGAATGACAAGAAGCATTGGATGATGGGTTCCTTCAATCATAAGCCTAGCACAACCTCCTAAGTGCCGCTAAGCAGTTCAGTAAAATTGATTAAAGTATGAGCGCATTCGAGGATAGTATTAATCCCGCGGCAGTACTTTCTGCCATGTTGGCTTTTAGTTCCTCATTTTTAAAGTAGGATATTAGTCCAGAGCTTCCTAACTAATTTCATACGGTGTTGAATAGTGATCCTGTATACGCGGACCTATTTACCCTCTTACTTACTAACGCTTAATAACCTATACTATAAGACCTTCTCGTTATCTAATCTTCCCTTTTTTCTTATTTATTACTAATTTATAGCTTTATATAATATAGTTCTTATTTAACCTTAGCTTATACCCTCGTCGCCGCCTTCTTTTCTTTAATAAACTAGTTTCTATAATAATAAATCTCGTATTTAAGGACCCCTATATACTCTATTATTTTATACTTAGCTCTAAAGCTCTATATAGCTACGCTATACCTATTTTATTCTAAAAACATTTTTTTTTAAACTCCGTTATATAGATTTATTACTATTTATTTTTTATACGCTATACGAGCTCTTTTTTTAATATTATAAAGCTTTATAAAATTAACTTTATTATCAATTAAGTACCGAAGGGTTAGGCTTAAAAGGAAATTTTAGAATTTATAAATCTCAAATGCCTACTGCCTCAGCCAGCTTTTTACTCACTATTAGCGAGTCAAAGAACAATTTGAGATTTACA